CAGCAATATTCCAGCTTTATGGCGGCGGTCTGTAAATAATCGAGTCTGGACCAGACAATCCAGTGATCAACAGCATGAGCATCGATCTGCGCAGTTGGGAATCGATGACATGTGGCAACCAAGTCAGCGATCCTGACCACCCGATCCCGTTAGTCGCCTTTTACGACAAGCATAGTTGCCTTTTATGACAAGAATGGGTTGCTGAAGACCTATTCTACCCCGGATCTTCACGGGTCTGCAGTTTCTTGAGTTAAGAAAGCATGGAACCATGGAGATTCGGGCTAGAAATGGTCTTCAGCAACCCATGCTTGCGGTAAGAGCCAACTAACGGGATCGGATGGTCTGGCTCACTGACTTTTCACTGACTTGGTTGACACATGTCATCGTATCCCAACTGCGTAGATCGATGATCATGCTGTTGATCACTGGATTGTCTGGTCCAGACTCGATTATTTACAGACTGTCGCCATGTAGCTGGAATAGTGCTGAGTTTTCCGTTAAACAACAAACAAACAAAACTGACAAGTAAATTCATGTCTACCAAACTCACAAGAGTTTGTGATATCTTTTGTTTGTGACGTCACGGTAGCATTGTAGTGCAGTTTCAATAAGGTCATGTCACCTAAGCGATATCTCCTGTGGATTCCAGGACCGGGTGATAAATAGTACTACATAAATGCTGGACGTATATTACACGCATATACAGTCCAAAACGGCTGTGTCGAAGTTGCAGTGACCTAAGTAAATACTTCCAGTTATCCAAAGTTTGACACAACCCTCAAATCATGCCTAATGAAGAACACGTAAGCTTTTACTTCGAGAGAACCAAAGGTTCGACACATCAAGGTTCAACAGTGTTTGATGGCATTTTATAATTATGAAATTAGTGTAATTGAATACGGATAGGCATAAATATGAGACGTCAACACAAGAGTGAGTGAGTTTAGTTTTACGTCGCTTTTAACAATATTCCAGCAACATCACGGCAGGGGACACCAGAAATGGGCTTCACACATTGTACCCATGTGGGGAATCGAACCCGGGTCTTCAGCGTGACGAGCGGACGCTTTAACCATTAGAATACCCCACCGCCCCTCAACGCAAAAAAATAATCAGTTGGGTGTAACAGGCATTTAGTAGTGAATGAATCGATCCCTTCCGGCACCAGGTGTTCGCGAGTCCTATGTTGCGATGAATACCAGATGATTATGTTTTCTGGCTCGTTCATTTTAATCATAACGTGTCATTCGACAGAATATGAAATATACTTTCATGTGGTAAATATGTTTATCTCGCTTAATGACTATTTTAACAATCAGGCGTGCAGTCTTAATCTAGCAGACTACAATGCATTATTTAAAATTTTCTCAATTCCCAGGGGAGAATACACTGATAACGGACTGATCAAGCACGTTATGATTGTTATCCGTTGTACGGTTAGATTGACGTTTGTAATCATCTTTATGGGCTGATCGCGCCGATTAGGAACTGTTTATATCTTGACTCGTAGATAAATGCTTATGATATACATTCTGACACACATATGAATTAGAGCTGTCAATCAACATCAAATCTTTCAGAGTTCTACGCGCTTGTTGATACTTTTTTTAGGTTTCTTATTATATATACAGTTTGTGTCTCCTTGACAGACTTAAGAGTACGTATGTTTCTATTACGAAGAAGTCACCGCACTTTTTGATCGAGGAGAATTACTTATCCCCTTCTCAACTCTTGCAGCATCCATTCAACTCCACTGTTACTTCCTGTTAGTCAAGGAAAATGAATAAAAAGGGAAAATTTACCATTTACATAACCTTATTTCGGTAATTATGCTAGTCTACGAAAATGTGTGAAAGAGGAAGATTTACCTTCTACATAACATTATTTCTTTAGCTATATGTTAGTCTGGGAAATGTGAAACAGGAAAATTTACCATTTACTTAACTTTATTTCGGTAACTATATGTTAGTCTAGGGAAATGTGTGAAAGGGAGGAATTTGCCTTCTACGTTTGTCTTGGAAAATGTGTAAAAGAGGAATATGTTTTTTTCACCCTCAACATAACATTATTTCGGTAACTAACTCTTAGTATAGGAACATGTGTAAAAAAGGAAAATTTACCATTTACATAACATTATTTCCATAACTAAATGCTAGTCTACGGAAATGGGTGAAAGGGGAAGATTTACCTTCTACATAACATTATTTCGGCAACTAAGTGTTAGCCTAGGAACATATGTAAATGATGAATATGATTTTCTTTGCTTCATACGTAACTGTTAACTGATGTTGGCAACCATCCGTTAGACTAGAAATATGAAGAAGAAGCACTGATTGCATTGCCACGTGAATCATTGTTCCCAGTCCTTTCCTTGGGCTTAGATTGATTAACAAAGAACATGTAAACAGGAGTCCTTTGGGCTTACAACATGTATTTACGACAGGTAATCAGTTATGTGAGAATGGTGTGGGTGTTGCTATTTATTACCCATTAATAGACGGGAAGTGCAGAAAGTTTTAACACGCCGGTTTGACGCCAGTATGCCTTTGATTTACTTGGCAATCATTCACGGACTGACGGTAGACACGGGCATGTCTACATGTCCGAGATAATGTGTTTACTGATTAAAATAGAAAGGTATTGTTCAGTTCTGCATGTTTCTTTAATAATGAATTATATGCTGATGGTAAAAGAAGGAGAAAAAACATATAAATGGTGATGAATATTTTTTTCTGTTTGGAGGAAAGGTGGTTATCGATGGATTTAGACTGAGGGGGTTGTGTGGTCATGCTGTTGCTGAATGTTATATGATTTATTTCGGTTGCTTCCGGGGTATATAACGTATACCTTTATGAGTTGTTGTTTAGCTGGACAGTGCTTATGCTTGCTGGCTACTTTTCGCTCACTTACTCACTCAGTCACTCACTCATGAAGATCCGGGTTAGAATTGATCTTCAATAACCCATGTTTGTTGTAAGAGACGACTAGCGGGATTGGGTGGTCAGGCTCGCTGACCTGGGTAACACACATCATCGTATCCAAATTGCGTAGACCGACAGTCATGATGTCAGTCACTAGATTGTTTGGTCCGGAATCGATTATTCACAGACCAGCGTTAGTCTGTATCTCCAATCTCAAATTGGCTCCTTTTCAATGTTTGTTACTATCAAGAAACAAATGTATTTTCTGAGACTAACCATCTTTAGTCGTTTCTCAGACCCTTGAGAACAAATCCAAAATAGATTCCTATTCAAGTCAAGAGTAATGAGGCATGTCTAGATTGCGTCAGCTCTAGGTCTGAATTCTTCAGGGATCTTTCATTTTATTGATTGCTTTTGTGAGTATATATTTTTAAATAGGAGAACGTTATTTGGGGTCTAAAAGTCACCCTAAAACGTCTTCTGTAAGCATGAGACTATAACCTATTCCGCTACCACCCGTTGTGCCAGCCCTAGCGGGTGTAGGTGCCCTGTAACCCAATCAAGGGAGACGTGTGTTATCGCTCATATCTTTGTGCTCATGTACACCTAATTTCGCGGTAGGAGACTCCATATAATGGGCTCCTGGTTGAGAAGGATATATGACGCTACAGTGGTCATCTCCTCGTGTACTATTACCCCGCAGACAAATCAAGAACATGCATAGTCTTTGTCATTTAGAGGTCAAGTTTATCTGTAACTGAACGGCTCACCGCCAGGAATGTGACTTGACGCCCATGTTGGTGTGTTCGAAGATTGGGTTCTTTTTTGGTGTTTGGTTATAGATATGCTACCAGATTAACGAATAAAACTAATCAATTTGGGTTACATACAGATCATCATACTAATTGTACAACGTGATTCTAGATCGTTATGAAACCTTCCACTGACTACTAAAAAGCAGTAAATGTAAACTGAAGGACAAAAGAAAGTATACACCTAGGTATTGAAGGTGGCTGGTATGAAACATTAAAATTGGTTATTCGATGGTGATACATTTTATGCGAATATCAGACACGTCTTTCGGTTTTTTAGTCTGCAATGCATTGGCGATTGGTTGTAACCTAGTATAGTTTAAACAACATCTACATTGTTTGGGTCAAATTCAGAGTTTTTACATCCCCTTGCGCAGCAGTTTAAATGTGTGCTTCTTTCGTTTTATAACTGGTTTACCTAGACCTGTCGTGGAAATTGTCGGAATTCCATATTAAGAGTTGTGTCCCCTGAGTGTGGCAGAATCCGACCATTGTGGTTTCGATTCTCTGATTTGCAGCACCATATCCGGGCTTCTAACTGTAAACCCCTAAGACTGCATCATGTCGGGACATCCTCCCACATGAACCTCATATGCCGTGACACAACAAAACTACTGTTTAGACTGGTACTGAACTCAATTCACTCACTCACTCATTGTATAAGTTCCTGTCACGTCGTGTATAAACATTGTTTGTCGGCAACTAGTAGTTTCCAGATATGGACGCCGAATGCCCTCGCGTTCTTTTTAGGTAAATGGTGATACGTATGCATCAGTCTATTTTCAACCATCTAAACTTATAATCTTATGAAATAATTGAGTCTGGATCAGATAATCAGCATGAACATAAACTACGCAATTGGGATACAATGACACGTGTCAATCAAGTCAGCGAGCCTGACCACCTGATCCCGTTAGTCGCATCTAACTACAAGCATGGGTTGCTGAAGACCAGTTATAACCCGGATCTTCACGGGTTCACGATCACGGAACAGTGTTGGATGTCGTTTCACATTGCATTCACTAACTCATAAAATACAAGATTTAAAAATCGTTTGGAAAAATCAATTTTACAAAACATATTACTTACTGTCCTAAACAAATTATGTATGTGAAACATATGTCCGGTTACTGATCTACATTCGGTTGTTGGCAATCTATAGCCTGTTTTTATATTGTATTATGAATACGAAGAAACAAATGGTAGGAGAATCGTGCAGGATGTAAGTCTGAAGGTCTATATAGATTTGACATTTTCCATGTTTCAGAGTCGACAGTCATCAGAAGTGAGTGCCAGATATTCCGCGAAGTATAGACAGACCCCTCGCTCTGGTTCTGTTGTCAGTGCCAATTCTCCATATTTGCCTCAGGTAAGGGAAGTAACCCAAACGAAGAGAAGCAACTCTTCCTTAAAATATGTAATAATGAACGCCCACGATGAAGGTTTAAAGAAGTACAGATCTTTTAACATATCAAATATCAGATTTTGTGTAACATGCAATCAAGTTCAAAAGGTTAGGATAAATCAAATCAGTCGACATATTTTTCGTATCTTAATCTTTGTAATTTTATCCGACTACATGCACACTCGAGAAAATCGATCTGTTTACCGTTTCCTGTGCTCGAACAAACTGTAATTGAGATGAAAATAGGAAATTAACTTCTTTAGTCGGAAAGCAGAACCGTGTTCCTACGTCAAGAACATCTTAAGTTTGTTTCTAGCTCGGACAATTTAACTAATATGTATGTATCAAATGTGCATGGAATCCTTTGTTTCAGAGTACATCTGAAGAGTGCCTTAAATGCCTACTCAGAGTCCCACACAAGAAATGCGAATCGGTATGTTATTGAATTTACTTCTCAAAAGACAAATGACTCTCACAATTGCAATCATTAAGGACTGTTTTGTGATTAAATGCCACAGCTCATGAATTTCAGAGCGGACCTAACTAAAAAAATAGCTGACTTTATTCCCACACAAACGGATTTCGTTTCTTTAACCAAATTAATACAGATAATATTTGGAGATTAGGTACACAGACGTGTATGAAGGGTAATTGAAGTAGTTTCAAGTATGACAAAATTTACATTCTTTCGACCTCGAAAGCAAATACGAAAACACGAAGCCCCTAATTGTAACAGTTGAAGAGATTAACAATTTGTAACTTGTGTTTTGGGGACTTTCTGTCTTCTGGAAGAAGAAAACACTTCAAAGACACCGTGTATTTGGTCAGAATTAACACGACCTTGAGAATACCCTATTGGCCTTCGCTTCTGTTTTGTTGGAGGGAACGCTGTGGGTTTTTCTTTGTTGCTAAATATTCTCTTGTGCAATGTGGGGCTTTCTAGTCTCGTTAATGCCTTCTCTTGGTCAACGAGGGGTGACGGCGTTTTATCGACTTCCGCCTCCTTCATCAGCTTGTAAATACTGGCTTACGTTTTATGTCAATATTTCTGGATGAGCACAGAGAGTTGCTAACACTCTGTCCGTGTAATATTGAGTATTTTAGAGTTCATGTTTGCCTTGGAAATTACAGAATCAATTTTCTCAGTTTGAAGCATTTGATAATGAAAATCAAATTTAAATCTAATGCCAGGTAATGACAATCTTAAATCTTTGTCAACAAATTTTGCTTTCCTCTTTTCATGCCAAATTGGACATTTTCGACTCTATGTCTGTAATTTCTGGAATTCGTTTACGACTTCAAAAAACAATCTTTTATATGACATTTTTTAATTAAAACACATATGAAACATTTGTTTGTGTAGTGCAAGCATTCAATGAGAGCCCGATATTCAACGATATTTTTGTCAGACAAGTTATTTTAGCAATAATTATTCACCGGATTTAGAGAAATAGGTTAGAGCAATAATTATTTAGCTTGGTGTGGCGTGTTTATGGATGGGTAGTCCAATAATGAGACCAGAAAAAACAAATTAATTGTTGGTGTAGAGAATATTTATACATCAAGTAATTATACATTGTGTTTCTATCTTTTCACGATCTTTCATTTCATTTCTTTCATTTGGTAATAAATTTACTTATTTTCTAATGTTCCAGCACAAATACATCCGAGTAGGTGGAGGTTATCGCCATGGCTACTGGTATATCAAATGTCTTCTGGAAGAGTTGGAGATGCAGGTAATGTAAAATCACTACAATCACCATTATCATCTCCATCAGATAACCATCATATCACCATCATCACATCACGCCATTACATATCCACTATAATCACATCACCATCATCACACCATCACATCACTTCTGTCATCACACCATCAGCACACTCACACCATCAGATAACCATCATATCATCATCATCACATCACGCCATTACATAGCCACTATAATCGCATCACCATCATCACATCATCACATCACCTCTTTCATCACACCATCAGCAGCACATCAGATAACCACACCATCAGATAACCATCATATCATCATCATCACATCACGTCATTACATATCCACTATAATCACATCACCATCATCACACCATCACATCACCTCTGTCATCACACCATCAGCACACTCACACCATCAGATAACCATCATATCATCATCACACCATCATCATCATCACACCATCACATCACCACTGTCATCACACCATCAGCACACTCACACCATCAGATAACCAACATAGCATCATCATCATCACACCATCACATCACCACTGTCATCACACCATCAGCACACTCACACCATCAGATAACCATCATATCAGCATCATCACACCATCAAATCACGTCCATCATCACCAACATCATTACACGATTACCTCACCATCACATCATCTGCACCATCACATCGCCACTATCAGCATCATCACGACCATTACACCATTACATCGCATTACATCACCATCATATCACGTCCATCATCACCACCACCACCACCATCATCATCACACTACCACTACATCACGCCTTATACTGTCTCGTCAACCACCACGATATTGCCACCAGTATACCTTCACCTCACACTGCTCCGGATGTTCCACTTATCCTGATGATAAATGAACTGAAGACTGCTTATATAGCCCACAGACGTTGCACTACAGGCATGTTGGCTTACAGTATGATGTCCCCTCGATGAGTCAAAATCTATACAAGTCTCAATATATTGGTCTGGCGTCTTCTCTAACGTCCAGTAACATTTTTAAAATAAATATCAACTTTACAACAAGGGGCTGCAGTCTTCTCCGGTATTTCAAGGACTTTGATCGGGAAAACATTTTTCAACATGGAGTATATCGTATCAGCAACATCAATAACCTCACCACGCGCCTTTCCGTTGAACTACGTGACTGGCCCCAACAAAACTTATTTCGATGAACGAAAATCATCTGGAACCCATCTTAATTATATAAACCTCGCGCACGTAAACATTCTTAGGATGAACCTATCCACTATTCCAGTTGAAGATATTTAGTTGCTTCGTTTAGTAAGTGAGTGATCTAAGCTACGCTTGGCAAAGTATACTATTCACACTTTGCTAAGGATCAAATCATGGATTCAGCAGAAAGCTATGATGTGGGGTCTAATTTGGTTTAAATACCTAAGCTTATTGTAAGCATGGACCCTAGGTTTCAGTATGTCCTTTCATCTTGTGGATCCCATACCTGCTACTGACAGGTGTTGTGTACTTGTCAATGACTCGTTCCATGATTTGCAAAATGGTTGACTGGTGCCATGAAAACCATTCTTATGGTTATTTATGTATCAAGTGCATAAGGTTAGATTAAAGTGACTGTTTGCCTAAAGAGGTGTTACCATATTATTATCTATCCAGTTTTAAATGGATACAATTTAAAATTATGAATCTACGTTTAAGTAAAGTTGTGAATTTTTGTGATCCTTACAAAATGTGAGTAGTATATTATAGTTATATCACGACATCACAATTTAAGTATAACAAATTTACTGTTACGATGAAATCCACGAGCAGTGTTTGTTACTTACCAATTCACATGGTGTTAGTCATAATAATAACATTTCATTATTCATTGTATACAAGCCTGTTAATTTATGTCACTACTCCATTATATTGTTATTTATATTTCAGAGACAACGTGAGTTGTTGAGGCAACAACGACTTGAAGCCATCAAAGAAAGTAGTAAGTGATGTGTAAAATATCTTACATCACATGGACGTTTGTCAATTGAAGTTCATTAAATTCAAAATAAATAAAAAAAATATTAAATTCAAATGGCACTGGAGTCTTATGACAGAAACTAAGTAATGAAAGAATGAACAAACGAATGAATGAAAGAATGAATGAACGTAGGAAAAAATTGAAGGAAGGAAGGAAGGAACGTATAGTCCAACACTGCAGTTAGCAATAGTACTTCAGTTATATCACGAAGGTCTTAACATGATATGTTCCGTACAAAGAAAACAATGGGCCTCAGCTTCAGCAACTATGATGGCACACAATCAGCCAGGTCATACATTGTGATTAATTCATCCTAAATAATTCTGTTCTTTCGACACATGGTGATGAAACCCATTTTTACACCGAATCTACAAACCAGAGAAGCAAATAAGTATATTCTTGTTTTCCTGTTTTAGATGTGAAGGCAATCAAGACATACATACGCACAAAGAGTGGACGGTTGGTGGAGCGTATCGTGTTCCTGAACGAAGAGGACTACGAGGCCTTCAAACAGGGCAAGAATGTACAGGACATCCTGAAGCGATACCTCAACAAAGATGAGGCAGCAGGACTGGAGTCTTGGGACAAGGATGAAGTAAAGGCCATAAAGACATTAGTGAGAACCAAGAGTGGACGTCTCATAGAGAAGCTTGTGTATGTGTCAAAGAAGGACTTCGAGGACATCAAGGCAGGGAGGGTGGACGCCAAGAATGTCCTCAAGAAGTACGTGAAGACCGAGGACGGTGAGCAGATAGAAGGATGGGGAGAGGCCAAGATGAAGACAATAAAGACGTACGTGAGGACAAAGAGTGGACGGTTGATTGAGAAGGTGATTATGATATCACAGGACGATTATGATGCTATGATAAGGGATGGGAAGGATCCCAGTGAGATCATCAAGAAGTATCTTCCTCTGGAGGAGGGGCAGACGCTGGAGTCCTGGCAGAGTGCGGAGCCTATGAAGGCTATCAAGACAAAGGTGCGGACCAAGAGTGGTCGTATCATAGAGAAGACGATCTACGTGAGCGCTGATGACTATGACAAGATGACAAGGGGAGGGGGGGATCCGAACGATATTTTGAAGAAGTACCTGAACCCAGAAGACGGAGACACTATAGAGTCATGGGAGAAGGCTCCTGATGGGCAGCCAATGAAGGTAAGGCTTCCTTGTCAACAACAATAAACATGATTATATCCCACAACCTCGCTCTTCCATCAATCGCTTAGTTTTACCAATTGATAATGGTGTCAAGAATGGTTTATTAAAGTGCAGTTCTTCATGCAGAATGTTATTGTCCACTTTTGCACTCTTTTATGGGTGTGATGATCCTCTTGTGAAGCGTGTCAGGCATTGTGAGGTTTATATATAGAGCCAAGGTCTGAGTGTTGGTGTTGAAATAGATGATGGTTTTGTACCGCTTGACAGATCATCTGTCAACAAAGCGAAGTCCGATCAGCACAGGTTGTTTTTCAAGGGAAGGCTCTCTGACTGACCACTGCACTGAGCATATGTCCAGTGTGTTGAGAAGATGAGCAAGTTTGCAGAGTCATTTGTTTGGATGAAGTCGACTGGCCCGAAAAGTAAAATGTAGATTATGTAATGAAGTTTATGAGACTGCCAGTGATTACAACGCGTTCTCACAAACACAATACCATCCTCGTGATTTGGGTAGGCTGTCAGTTTTACCTGAAGTCATGGCGATGCATACCATAGAGATGATCCGTAAAAGTATGATCTTTCCTTTCGTTACTGTCTTCCCCATGGGAGCGGTGGGGTAGCCTAGTGGTTAAAGCGTTGGCTCGTCACGCCGAAGACCCGGGTTCGAATCCCCACATGGGTACAAAGTGGCGTAAAACCAAACTCAGTCAGTCAGTCAGTCAGTCTTCCCCATGCTTGTGGTTTTAACTCACAGCACTTCCTGGGAGAATTCCCATTCGAACTCTGGACGAACTCTGTGGAGGGAACATGGACCCTGAGCCCTGTAAAGTGTAATAGAAATAAGAATGATATAACTACCACACATCTTTCTACTTTTACGATAACTAATGATGATAATGAGGAGGAGGAGGATAACGATGCCAAAGGATACCGTTGATGTGTAATAGTGATAAAATTTATATTCTACTGAAATTTATCATACAGTAGACAATGGAATCGGTACAAAACATATGTAACAATCATTTGCTCCAAACAAGAAGATGGTTAGGCCACGAACTGTTATAACATCCATTGTATTTATTAAATGTCAGCAAAACCCTCTGTCTCGCCAGGTTGTGAAGACCTACATCAGGACAAAGAGCGGGCGGCTGATTGAGAAGCAGGTGCTTCTGACCGAAGACGAGTTCAGGGCGTTCCAGGAATCTGGAGGAGATCCAGAGTTCCTCAAGAAGTTCATCAAGCTGGATAAAGGGGAGATCATCGAGGACTGGGAGAAGGCGTCAACTATCTACTCTGCCACTGATGAACCCGACGTCCAAGCTGGTAAGGATGCATCTGTCTCTAAGTCATTGGAGAATACATTCAAAAATGAATCCAACTTCACTACAGAATGATTTGTGAAGATTCCCACAGCTTTCGGAACTTAAGGATTGTTTTTGGCTTCATTTAGAATATATTTGGTATATTGTAGAATGTAAATATTTCAGAATAGGAAACTTTATTTGTGGGACCCACAGCGGCTGTATGTTGAAATCGTTGACCAGCAATCGTGTTTAGCAAACAGTTCTATTTCAAAGTTAATCACGGATTGGCGTTGGAATCTTTGACTTTCGGTCATTTTTAGACAGACACTTTCATTTGGCGATTTATCGACAAAAATTGGGAATCTTTGACAATTAGTTGATGTGAGACTGTCTGATTTCACAAGTTGTCACGGGTGGGATTCTTTGACCACCAGACGTGTCATTAACATGAGATATATGGTACAATTAGGAACACTGTTCTTATGTTATTTTCAGCAAAACCCGGAACGCGCCTGGTGGGTAAAGATGGCGTTGTCTATGAGGTTGTTGTCGACCCGGTCACAGGGAAAAAGTACAAAAAGTAGGTATCTTGCCATCTCCCAAGTGCATAATATGAAACGTGCTTATTGGCTGTTCGTTATGTGCTAAGTGACTGTCTAATCTAGAATCCTAAATTACCACCCCGCTCAAAAATAAAGAATAAATAGTAAATAAACAGTGACATGACATTGCTGATTCTAGATCTGTTTTAAGCAGTCAGCTACCCTAAAAGAGAGATCGGGTAATACGAACTGGACATATGAGTGTCAACCATACGAATAAATTATCTCATTCCATGCACACCATTTTGGATCAGTTCGTACTGACATATTTTACACCGCTTTCAACAATATTCCTTTCATATTAAGTAGGATATACTAATTCCAAGTTGGGAATCGAACCCTATCTTTGGCGGGATGAGCGGATACTTCACCCACTATATATATATATAGCTAAGCAGCCCCACATCACTTCGAAGAATGAATTTCGGATGCAACATACCAAGGATAGATTTCAATTTATTACATAAATATTTGTTGATCGGTTGTTTAACACCAATATTTCGGTTACATTAACGCGCTCTGTATGTATTCTAGTTTGAAATTGGCAAGGGTAGTCTAGTGGTTAAAGCGTTCGCTCGTCACGCCGAAGATCCGGGTTCGATTCCCCATGAGTATAATCTGTGAAGCCCATTTCTAGTGACCCTGCGGTGATATTGCTGGACTATTGTTAAAAGCGGCATAAAATAGACTCACTTACTGAAATAACCAAACCAGTGATTGATATCAGCAACAACGTTGTCATCAAGCCTTTCGATCTATGTAGACGACTCGTATGACAAAAATAGGCTGTTGGGGATGTATTCAAACCGTGAATCCCTAGGGCTTAATGCATTGGTAGGCACGCAGATCGATGTCGCTGTTGACTCCTACGTGTTTGGAAGTATAATGATTTTACGTCTTTCAGAAAAATTGGACAACAAGAATCTGACGTCGACAGCGGCATCGCGTCCATGACTCGGGGTAAAGGGGGGAAGCGAAGAGGCGGTAAGGGAGGGGGGATTGATGAAGAAGAGACGCCGGAGGAACGACAGAGACGGAAACTTGGGCGGAGGGACGCTGACAGCGACAGCGACTACAGTTACAAAAGTCACCGAAGCGCCGGCGGCACACGTCACGTCACACGACGGCGGAAAAGGGCGGATGGCACTTACAGCGACGGTGAGTAAGACTGACCTTTCTGGGTCTTGGGTTTGACAACATCTCATTAACACGACCGGAGAACGCCACTTTGAGGTCATTACAGGGCATCTGGTCAAGGCGAAACTTTGTATTGGAGGGCAAATCGAAATGTTGGCAAACCGATCCGAATCATAACGGTATCGACGCTATTCTTTATGAAATTCATTTTTCTCGAGTCCCCTCTTTGTAGAAATCGGGTAAATTGATAAAAGGGGCAGATATTCATTATGCAGAGTTGCGTCCCGTGAAAGTGCAAGGATGTTGGTTCATCGCTTCCATTACGATTACCCATGTATGACTGGTTCTTTATGGATCTCACGAGAAAGGTAATATCTGCAAACTGGACTTTGCCACCTTGACCTGCCGTCCACTCTAATCTGACATGCCGTGAAAAAAACTGAAATTAGGTCAGAAATACACTTTTGTAAAATAATCTCTTTTCCAAGAACCCAAGTTCTCATTGCAATGGACTGTACCGTAAATATCTGAATTGTGATTTATTTTTCGATATTGGTATGGAACAGATGCATAGAGAAGTGAGAATACTGGAAGACACTGCTTAGGGTATTTTGTTGGTTAGACGGGATGACTTGTCATCGTATCCTAGCTAACTTCGTATGCTACTCATGATATCAGTCACTGGTTTGCCGGATTCAATCATGACTAGTTATATGCCTCCTTCATATAGCTGAAATATAGCTATGAATACACAATGCCATTTGGGATTACACTTTCTCACAACTTTCGCCCGTGGGAGCCGTGCCAATTTAAACCTGTCCGTGACCTAGACTACCAGTTGTCCGACTTCCATTTTTGTGGAAACCGTGACGGCTGAGTGGGTTAGATTACTCTGTGAACTGGCGATTAGGTGTCTGACTCTCAGGGTGTGAGTTCGAATCCCGGATGGGTCTCAACCCAACAAAAGTACTAGAATCTGTATTTTATTGAGAAAGTGTAATCCCAAATATAACGTTTGTTGTATAGCTGAAAATACATGCTGTATTCAATGAACATGAGCAAATGAGCGTAAAGTCAAAATGTCAAATGTAACGTTATCTCAGTGAGTGTAATACTTTTCCAACAGCTGAATCGTATCACAGCAGCCAAGATGAGGATGGTCAGGCTCGACGACGACGTCGACGACGAGAGAGGAAACACGGTTCAGATAGCGCTCATAGTTACTGCAGTGTCGTCAGTGCCGGAGGCACACGTCACGTCAAACGACGTCGTAAACGCGCTGACGGGACGTATTCAGCAAGTGAGTCCTACCACAGTTCTGACAGTGATGAACCTGGCGGAGGAAGAGCGAAGAACCGGAAGAAGAAGAAGAAGGAACGGCGTGAACATGGCAGCGACAGTGACCACAGCTACTACAGTGACGTCAGCGCCGGCGGCACGCATCACAGGAAGAGGAGAAAGAGAATCCGAGACGAGCATGGTAACGTCATCGGCCATGGCAAGGTCGAGAACTACACCAGTCCTGGTAAGCAGCTTATCTTCCACTGTAACTAGATGGTGTTGTATATTTCTTTTTGAGCGGGACAGTGAGGTAGCCTTATCGTTAAAGCTTCCGCTCGTCACGCCGAAAACCCGGGTTCGATTCCCAATATCGGTACAATGTGTGAAGCCAATTTTGGAGTCCCCCGCCGGATATTGCTAAAAGCGGTGTAAAACCTCACTCACTCACTTTTTGGTGCAGACCGTTGACCCCTGACGCGGAAGGTCGTTGTCTGATTCCTTGTCCACGTCATACCAAAAGACGTTAAATGATGGTACTTTTTGTCACCTTGCCTCTTTGCATTAAACGATTAAGAATTCCACTCGGCTCGGGGGCAGCCGAATGTGTCAGGAAGTGATGCATCCATATTAAACTGTGATGATATTTCAGTAGGTTAGCATCATGAAACCGGATTACGTGCTTAGAGACTTCATTAACGAAAGATTCTTGAATGTGACATTAATCACCACGTCACATCTCTTATTGTATCTGTGAAATCAGAAATAACGACTGTTCAAACAAAATTGTAAAGAAATATAATATTATTCGTAATTATTACTTTGTGCCTACATTAAGCAAACATTAGTTATGTTAGATGTTTAATCGTCTTTGACGTTGTTTCTGGAACATTTGCACAATTATTTATTAGAAACAGTTATTTCTTAAATTGTTTTACGACCGAAAACATAGTTAACTTGAAATATGAATGTGATGTTTTTTTCAATTCATTGATGCTTTATACTTTTTCAGAAAATTCCGACGATGAAAGGTATGATGTATATATGAATTATATTGGAGTAGTGGAAATTCGTCTTTCAATTTTAAAAGCGATTTCTTCAATTATTATTAATAAGGACACTTACATGTACAATATAAGTTTGGATTATGATTTAGTTTTCTAGATGTAATTTTTTCTACTAACGTGGATTATCGTACATGGTATTTATTTATTTCATATACTGAAGGGCAAAAGAAACAATACCGATTTCGTGTTTTTGTGATTGAAATCGAAATGCGATTGTGACTATAGAGCGTCAACCATTCCTGCAAATGTTTGTGACCTATGGGTTATTCTGTGTAAAAATATTTTGATTCAAAGACAACGGGGATATAAAGGCGACAAAATTATAAGAAATTGATTTTCTACCATATCACCTTTAGCATGTGTAAAAAAATTGTTCAAAGAAAGCAAATGTTATTTTCAACAGTAAGATGCCCCGGATAAACCTCAGTATTGTATTCCGCGATTGTATGTTTCCATTTCAATCGTATAAAAAGCATGTAGAAGTATTTTATGAATGATGACTAAGCGCCAGTATCATATAGTTTGTTTTGTGGTATCAGCAGCTAAAGATTTTATCAAACGTATGAACATCAACTCATGAACACATACTCATGCCAATAATGGTTTGTCACCCCAAAATTTTTAATTGAGGGGTTGGGGTTGTGAAAGTGTGTGTGGGGTTGGGGTGGGAGAGGGGTGACAACCATTATTGGCATAAGTATATTATGCCTTGCCCCTTCGTGTATATATCAGTCTCACATCAATTCTATTGTACTGTCTTAAGTTTGTTGTCAGTCAACTAACAATGGTTTTAGCATGGTATGGAATGTCTCTCGGGTCTTTTGGTGTAGATGTGGATAGATGTGTAATGTGATTGTAGTGAATAGAGGGTTAAGATGTCAATCATTGTTGTACATAACCAATGTTACAATTTTCTTCATTTTAGAAAATATGACTTTTATTTCTTCCAAACTTGTTAGTGTAACCATGAAAAGGGATTTTAGCACGTGTTTCAACGTAGTTGACATACGAACTTTCAGCTACATCTAGCCATTTTAATGTAACTGACATACGAACTTTCAGCTACATCTAGCCATTTTAATGTAACTGACATACGAACTTTCAGATATATCTAGCCATTTTAAATATATCTAGCCACTTTAATGTAACTGACATACGAACTTTCAGCTACATCTAGCCATTTTAATGTAACTGACATACGAACTTTCAGATATATCTAGCCATTTTAATGTAACTGACATACGAACTTTCAGCTACATCTAGCCATTTTAATGTAACTGACATACAAACTTTCAGCTACATCTAGCCATTTTAATGTAACTGACATACGAACTTTCAGCTATATCTAGCCATTTTAATGTAGCTGACTTACGAACTTTCAGTAATATCTAGCCCTGTCTCACAGCCGAAATACGCACTAGCCACTTTTAAATACATGTAGTAGATGTAGGAACTTTCACCTTTCAGGCTTTATAACGTGACCGACATAAGAATTTCAGTTAAATCTAGTCCTGTCTACGTAGCTGACATACGAACTTTCCGTTATATCTAGCTATTTTTATGTATTTAGCATGCGAACGCTCAGTTATATATAGCATTTTTAAGGTACCTAACGTGCGATTTTCAACTATATCTAGCCATGTTTACATAGTTGACATAAAAACATTATGATATATCCAGCAATTTGTTCGCAGCTGAAATAGGAACTTTCCGTTATATCTAGCCATTTTACGTTGCTGACATACATGCAATGATCATCTAGCCATATGACAATATCTAGCCATGACATGTGTGTGACAATCCCCCAGTGTGTACACCACGGTGTCGGATGGAAAAGGCGGCAAAGTCCGCGTGAAGAAGGAGAAACCCGGGAAAGGCGGTAAAGGCGGGAAAGGCGGTAAAGGCGGAAAAGGTGGGAAAGGTGGGAAAAAAGGCCGGAACTACACCGGCGTCTTCAGCGACGAATCTAGCGACGATGACGACGTTGATTTGTCGAATATGACAGAGGAAGAGAAGAAAACATATTTCGCAGAGAAGGCAAAGAGGAAGGCAGAACGAGAGAAGAGAAGAAGGGAGAAATACGGCGACAAATATGACGAGATGGTCGCCAAACATGAAAAGTTCGTAAAGCCGTATAGTAGCTTGCGTGGAATGTTTGACATATTTTTTATATATCTTTGACATAACACGTGTGTGCGACACGTATATCTCGAATTTGCACTGTTTCCTCTGTTACTTTCAACACATCTCTTTCCATAATGCATATAAACAAATCCGTCTGTGATTTCAACACATCGCTTTCCATGATGAATATAAAGAATTCCATCTGTGATTTCAACACATCTCTTTCCATATTGCATATAAAAAAGTCAATCCGTGATTTCAACACATTTCTTTCCATAAAGCATATAAACAATTCCATCTCTGATTTTAACATAGCTCTTCCCATAACGCATATAAACCATTCCATCTCTGATTTTAACATAGCTCTTCCCATAACGCATATAATCAATTCCATCTCCGGTTTCAATATACCTCTTTCCATAATGTTTAAGAACATTTCCTCCTCTGATTTCAACATTTTCCATAATGCATATATACATTCCATCTGTGATTTCAACACATCTCTTCCCATAATGCATATAGAAATTTCCAACACATCTCTTTCCATAATGCATATAGACAATTCAATGTGTGATTTCAACACATCTCTTCCCATAATGCATGTAGACAATTCCGTCTTGCACATATTCTTGATATCATAACTGTTTGAGAACGGCAATGGTTGTTTCAGCACGAACTGTTGTTTGACAATGCATTCTAACACCCTGTGCAATTATCGTGTTATCCTGTCTATATTCGCCTTCTGTGGCGATGTAACCTGAACTATTTCTTGCTAATGCACGCTGATTTGATACCTTTTATCAAATTATCTTTTCGATTTTTCGTACGGTTGAAATTCGACATTTTAGTGAACGACTGTCTGAAACGTCTATCGAAATTTCGTTCCAACTTTGTTTTTAACCATTGACCAAGTTGAGCTTCATGAGTTCTGGGCCCTGTTCTGCAATGCGCTGTTGCCCTTAGATAATTGTACTCCTATACTTTATATAGGTTCACGGTCGTCTTTCCTCTGAAGTTGAGTTATGGAATATGGTCTGATCTTTGAATTAACGTACAGTAAAATGGCTAATATTCTTATTTATGTGCCAATGGGTTTTAAAGATATTTACATAACATAAGTGCTTAAATGTTTAAAGGCAAGAGAAACTATTTTCCTTATAACTGTCTAACTGTTGGTATCGATGTATTATATGGTGAGGGTTCGATGATATCACTCCTTCAGAACTTCTTACCTTCCTGTTCTCCAACAATGTAGACAGATTTATCTAGATCGGACCTTATCCAACTCTGTCATGCACACAGACACCATCACTCATAAGACTCTATCTATCAGACTGAAGAAAGCATGGAGCAAACCCGTCTTCAGCGACGAATCTAGCGACGATGACGACGTTGATTTGTCGAATATGACAGAGGAAGAGAAGAAGAAATATTTCGCAGAGAAGGCAAAGAGGAAGGAGGAACGGGAGAAGAGAAGAAGGGAGAAATATGGCGACAAATATGACGAAATGATGGCAGAGCATGAAAAGTTCGTAAATTGCACCAACTGTTGCATGCGTTGTGCAGTGATTTACCGACCCACATATAATCCCAAACTCATATATAACACAACATCCATCTATAGCATAATCTTCATCCTCAATATATAACATCCATATATATAACTGAACCTGGACTTTCTCTAATCTTGCTGTGAATGAATATTAACTGCCATTAATACCTTCCGGCATATGACGTATTGCTTATCAGAGGTTGTGGGTTCATCGAAAAGGTTCTTCCAATTGCTTGACTCGTATTCACGCCTCCTGACAAATTGCGTTAGTGTTTGCATTTAAACCAGTCATGCATGATGCCAATATTTTCTGGTTTTGGGTGTTGTTATTGCTCAGCAACAGGTCCTATTAAACGCTTCTATTTAAAATTACAGAGCTACATGCGGCTATTCCGTCATAGTTCTACTAACAGGAATAATCACGTATTTTCTATCTTTGTGATGGTATCATTTGTAGCATGATCAATTAAATTATATTGGAGCTTTATTAACAGTTCGTTGATAATTGTATCGTATGGGTATCACTGTAGCGTGTACACGTCTGAGTTGCTGTCGGCGACCTGGGTAGCCCGGTTCACTTTTACGCCTCTAGCATTTATTGTACAGAGTTGCAGTTCAGAATCTGATGGTCATGGGCTCGAATCCCAGATGTGGTTCTGGTTTCCTGTCAGCACCAGGGGTCTGCTAAAGTTGTAAATGTCTTTGATCTGGATCTTTCTCACACATGAAGCTGACACGCCGTGATGTAACTGAAATACTGTCCAAAGCGGCTTTAAACCAAACTCACTCAATCAATCTTGTAACTGCGGCGGTGGGGTAGCCTGATGGTTAAAGCGTTCGCTCGTCACGCTGAAGACCCAGGTTCGATTCCCCACATGCCAGTACAATGTGTGAAAACCATGTCTGGTGTTCCCCGTCAATCTTGTATCTGCTTTGGTTATATGAACAATATTCAGTCTCATTTCGTCATCACTTGAGATTTTGTTTTATTTGGTATTTTGTTTTATAAATATACATTTCACACTATATTTCAATGCAATTCTTTTCCACTGTCCTATAATATCAGGGAATGCCATTTTGGTTTCTATAGAACAAATCATTAATCTCGGCACCCTGCCTTATCAATGGGACGAAGACCTCTCTCAGCACGACGTGTGTAATGGATTAGGCGTGATCAACATGGAGGCATTTGTCAGTATCACGTAACACTTTATCTTCCATCAGGGGATATATTCTGTCTCGGAAGGAATGTGTGGGACATGGGATATTATAATTATGGTAACCAATCACAGTCTCCTTTAGCCATTCCCTGCGCCCCCCAGCGAGACCCAATAACCTCGACATGAAACCCCTTATCCACCGATAAGTGTTAACATGCCATACTTTCATTAAATGTAACTTATGCCCAGTTCCTCTGATTATCTCCCTTGATCTTCACCTCCACCCGCAATGGCGTCGTATCACGTGACACGGGTTGTATCTGTCCCACTTTGTCCGAAGCATGGTTGCTTATGGTTCCCTTGTCACGCAACCTGGGATGACATCTTGATGTACTTCGTATACACACAGATCTCTTATCTTAAGAAACTGACGTGACATCAACCGTTGCCTAGCAGTACTGCAGCAGAAAGCGTTTGCAAGTTATATGGCGCTCACCTAGTTCAGGCTTTAAGGCGTTCAAGCTTAATATCCCCGTTACGTTAAAGAGGGTGTTTTTCCATTGAAACCAAGACTGGTTATGCGTCAGGATAACGCGAGTGGACTTTGATTCTTGTTCGTCGTTTCAAACGGAGGGATTAATATTCTCGGATTGTTCACTCTCCCAGTGCATCACGCCTGTAGGTTTATGAATTTATAATAGTAGCCACGAATCTTGGTCGTGTAAGTATACCAACCATTTACGATGAGTAAGAATGTCAGTTTCTCAGCCCCTTTGTCCTCCAATCTTAGACGTAAGAAAGATATACGACGTGAGGAACGTCGTCGTCTCGGCCTCAACAGCGCCTCCTCGTCTGAGTACGACGAACTCGGCAACAAGAAGCCCAAAACCAAAGGGGCCAGGAAGGATGGTCTAGGTGATGAAGAGGGTGGCCCTGATGGGTGAGTCCGGCGGTTGCTGTGACGCTGGTTCGAACCCTGTTTGTGTGAAACCCGATGTGTGTGCTGTGCTAAGGGTTCGAACCCCATATTCTGTGATGGGCGTTTTCTTTTCAGATTATTCGGTTTGAAGGAAATATATTTTTTAGTTTAGAGACAAGTACATGAATATTATTATAGCTGCATCTTGTGTCACGTGTTGAGTGATTACGTAACAGTTCCACCTTAGATGTAGATATTGAAAGTTATTGTTTTTCTGTGTATTAAATTTTATTTTAAGTATTTCAATCATTATAGTTTAACGAGTCTGATTTTTACAACCATATTTACGGATAAGTTATCGTTCTTCTGTTTGGTGACTAGGATCCATAAAGGGACCCAATGGAACATAACGCTCTTAATATGCTCACCGCGAGAAAGTGCTATAACGTCGTTATACAGCATGTGAAGTGGTCAATAGTATGTCTTCTTACCCAATTTGCGTGAATCGTTGCTCATACTATCAGCCACTGGTTTGCTGGTCGAATGTTATTATTGATTGATCAGCGTGATGCAGCTGTAACTAGTATGAAACAACATTCACGAACTTAGGACACAAAGATCTACATATCTGAAGACTGTTTATTGGTGTTGGGAATAACACATGACCTTGCTTGTTTTAGTACTAATTTTAAGGCTACGGTTAAAAATGATCAACACAATCCTCCAAATGGCCCAGTCGTGTGTGTTTTTATATATTGTTTTCAGTTTGTATTTTTGTTTCAGTGTAGTTAAGTCGTTGGTTTAAACAACCACTAGAGCAAGGCGATCTTGTTTTGCATGTTTAACATCGTACATAATCAAAAATGTTCTATTTTCGTTTTCTCTGTTTCAGCTGACTATCATTTAAAAGACTACGAATATTTCCATTTTAATTACATAATAACAATATCAGCCTTTTAAATATTTTAATTTCATATTATTTCCATAAATAATCATTTTCGAAATTATATTAAAATTCAATTATTTTATACACTTTTAAAACAAATCTTAAAATAGTCATAATTTTGTGACGAGTTCAGGTAACAAAATCTTTCATGTTTTAAAACTTTCCTGTTTTGAACTCAAAGTAACTAAATGGTTCTGTTTGTCAGGAGGAAGAAGGGCCGTAGAAATAAAGACGGCAACGAAGGTGATGATGAAAGTGACGATAGTAAGTATTGTGTGAATCACGTGACACGGTTGCCTAGCAATACACAAAAACAACACATGTTTAACATACATCCAGTAGTTACATTATTAACATTGATTTCAAATTATTTGATTATTTGTTTCAAAGATGAACACACGTACCTACGTTCTGATTCTAATAACGGATTCAGTTTTCAAGCATCCAGTATTCGCGTCGGACATTTTTCTTCGTTGATTTCAATAAGGAGAATACACTACAGTTGTGAAGTCATTTGTCCTTCAAAATAAAGAAGATATCTTGGTTCGTACCACCCCATAAATTATTTTTCCTGCACAAATATGACCCACATGCATGATTTATAACAACCGTTAGGTTGGTTTCATAGTTTTACTTACATACACCTTCGCACGTTTGAAGAATGCAACGAATCCCATTTCCTCGGATCTCTATATGGTTTAATGTTAATTGCCTTGCAAAATAAATAAAATTATAAAACATTTTTCATAAAAGTTAAAAATACGTTTAAAATGTTTAAGATTTTATTTAATAGAAAATTGAAGTTAAATAAACTTTGAAACTAACACTCACACACGTTCACCTTACAACCTGAAGGTACAAACACTGTTAAAGTCTTGATTTATCCGACACATGGTTCTCCAAAACAGTTTACTCAGAGGAGCATTTGCCAAATTTCTTCACACCTTGAACTTTTGACATAGTGTTGTACCTTTAGGAACTACTGGATGTGTTGATGTCACTGGTGCCCACGTTTTCTGTCACCTGGTTTGATTGGCACCCCTCTAACAACGAATGCATGCATTTGAAGGAAAACTTTGTGTTGATAATGTTCGACCAATTTTGTACAGATTATGACTTGACTGGCCGGAGAAAGAAGAAGGGAGGTCACAGACCAGGGTCAGGAGATGGTTATGAATATGTAAGTATGTAATAAAGTTTAACGTCGTATTCAAGGATTATTGAACGTATATTCAGTCATTTTCAGGTGATATTACTGTCCGTGATGAGATATCCGGTTGCTGTCTTTGTCAGCATAGTGGATGGGGTATCCGGGTGATATCACTGTGAGTGCAGTAGGTGAGATATCCATCGCATATCATTGTCCATGTAGTGGCGAGATATTCAGGTGATATCACAGTGCGTGACCAGATATTCAGGTGATATCACTGTCCGTGATGAGATATCCGGTTGCTGTCTTTGTCAGCATAGTGGATGAGGTATCCGGGTGATATCTGTGGAGTGCAGTATAGGTGAGATGTCCATCGCATATCATTGTCCATGTAGTGGCGAGATATTCAGGTGATATCACAGTGCGTGACCAGATATTCAGGTGATATCACTGTCCGTGATGAGATATCCGGTTGCTGTCTTTGTCAGCATAGTGGATGAGGTATCCGGGTGATATCACTGTGAGTGCAGTAGGTGAGATACCCATCGCATATCATTGTCCATGTAGTGGCGTGATATTCAGGTGATATCACAGTGCGTGACCAGATATTCAGGTGATATCACTGTAGTTATGAAATATTCTATTGATAGCTCTGTCACAATAGTTGATGATAGCACTGCGAGTGTAGTAAATGAGATATCCGTCGTATATCATTGTCCATGCTGTTATGAGATATACTGATGATATCACTGTCCGTGATGAGATATCCGATTGATATCACTGTCAGCATAGTGGATGAGGTATCCATGTGATAACACTGTGACTGCAGGAGTGAGTGAGTTTAGTTTTACGCCGCACTCAGCAATATTCCAGCTATATGGCGGCGGTCTGTAAATAATCCTGTCTGGACCATACAATCCAGTAATCAACAGCATGAGCATCGATCTGCGAAATTGGGAACCGATGACATGTGTCAACCAAGTCAGCGAGCCTGACCACCCGATCCCGTTAGTCGCCTCTTACGACAAGCATGGGTTACTGAAGATCAATATTCTAACCCGGATCTTCACGGGTGTGACTGTAGGAGGTGAGATATGCGTCGCATATTATTGTCCATGTAATGGTGAGATGTTCAGGTGATATCACTGTCCGTGCAGAAGATCAGATATCCGTTTGATATCACTGTCAGCATAGTGGATGATATCCCTGTGATTATAGTCGGCGAGATATCCATCGCATATCATTGTCCATGTAGTGGCGAGATATTCAGGTGATATTACTCTCGATGTGCTGTGTAGTGGGTGCGGAGGGGGTATCACCTTGAATGCTTTGGATGAAATACCCGGATCTACCTTCCTGTATGTTTACTTCATTCTGATTGGCCTATATTACAGAACAGATATTTACCAATTTTCAAACTAATTTCCACACCACGTTACATTTTTAAATTTCACATGTTTTGGGTTACAGAAATACGATGACAAGGGAAGAATCATCTCCAAGAAACGAATTAAAAAGGTAAATAAGGCACTACAGTTGAGTTCCACATACAAATAACTATTATTTGGTGTACCGGTTAGTGACGTTAACACTACAGAAACACTGGATAATGAACTTCCTTCTCTGTTTCAGGATGGTGACAGTAGCGGCTCTGAATATGAATATGAATATGGTAAGATATTATCAATATTATTGAAAGATAGTAGTAGTATCAGTAATAGTAGTAGTAACAGCAGCAGCATTAGTAGAAGCAGCGGTATCAGTAGTAGTAGTAGTAGAAGTAGTAGCAGTAGTAGTAGTAGTAGAAGTAGTAGCAGTAGAAGTAGTAGCAGTAGCAGTAGTAGTAGTAGTAGTAGTAGTAGTAGTAGTAGCAGTAGTAGTAGTAGTAGCAGTAGTAGTAGCAGTAGTAGTAGCAGTAGCAGTAGTAGTAGTAGTAGCAGTAAAGTAGTAGTAAGTAGCAGCAGCATTAGTGGAAGTGAGTAGTATCAGTAGTAGCAGCAGTAGTAGAAGTGAGTAGCAGCAGTAGTAGCAGTAGCAGTAGTAGTAGTAGTAGTAGTAGTAGTAGCAGTAGTAGTAGTAGTAGTAGTAGTAGTAGTAGTAGTAGTAGTAGTAGTAGTAGTAGTAGTAGTAGTAGTAGTAGAAGTAGTAGTAGTAGTAGTAGTAGTAGTAGTAGTAGTAGCGGTAGTAGTGGTGGCAGTGGAAGTAGTAGCAGTAGTAGCAGCAGCAGTAGTAGTAGAAGCAGTAAGTAGTAGCAGTAGTAGTAGTGGCAGTAGTAGTAGCAGTAGTAGTAGTAGTAGTAGTAGAAGCAGTAGTAGCAGTAGTGGTAGTAGTAGCAGTGGTAGTAGTAGTAGTAGTAGCAGTGGTAGTAGTAGTAGTAGTGAAGTAGTAGCAGTAGTAGTAGTAGCAGTAGTAGTAGCAGTAGTAGTAGTAGTAGTAGTAGTAGTAGTAGTAGTAGTAGTAGTAGTAGTGGTAGTAGTAGCAGTGGTAGGTAGTAGTAGTAGTAGTAAGTAGTAGTAGTAGTAGGTGAGTGGTAGTAGCAGTAGTGGTAGTAGTAGTAGTGGTAGTAGTAGAAGTAGTAGTAGTAGTAGTAGCAGTAGTAGTAGAAGTAGTAGTAAGTAACAGCAGCAGTAGCAGTTAGAGTGACATTAGTAGCAACAGCAACTAATAGTAATTAGTAGTAGTAGCAGCAGCCTTTGTTTGCCATAGTTAGCCATTGTGTTATGTTTATGCACCACGTGCATTTAAAGTCGATAAATATTTACAATACGCACCATCGTTTTGCCGGAAGGATATTCCGTTCCAGACATAAAATATATCGGCAAAATGTGTCCACTGGTTATGGTTGCTCCAGTTATTAGTGGGAATAATATCACCACTAACCAATAACATTAAAGTATTTGTATGGTTAGATAAGTACATGTATGATACTTTCAACCCGCAGACGCTGACGGAAACGTCAAGGCCGTCAAGAAGAAACGTAAAGGAAGTGAGTACCGAACTTAGTCACATTCAACGAGAAGTTCATAATAACTTGTTTCGAAGAAACACTCAATAATTTATAAAACAAATTCCAGTTTCCTAATTTCCTGTCAGGAGACAATAATTACTATATCAAGAAAAAGTGTGTAGGTCCCCTCTTTGTATATTGGACAAAAATAGTTAGGGATATATGTAAATTTTGAAATTATGAATAACAATTATCTGTTTATTCATTGACACACTGATATAATATCAATCATAAAATACCAATATCCCTAACTTATTTTGTCCAGTATAGATACGGACTTGAATGTGACACAGTGAGTGGATGCGTTTTGTTTTACGCCGCTTTGGCACTGTTCCGGCATTTTCGCAACAGAGGAACCTGGAAAGTGTTTCACACACGTTACTTGTGTTAGTGAAGATGAGAGACGTTAAACTACATATCAATATACTAGTACTGTACACTATGTTTATAACGCTTATACCGAACTGACGGATGTAACGAACTGTATTTGTCACGACCACTGGCTCTATATTTCAGTCGAAAAGCGTATAACGAACTGCGAACAAAAATTATTTTCCCCTTTTGTGTTCGTTATAACTCTATGTGTGAAGCTTCCTTTTGGGACCAGGGTGAGCATGCATACCCAGGACTCCATCACTTGTGGTGGATAGATCAGGATGGGCGTGTCCAAATGGCATGGATCGCTGCTCAGGTCGTGGGTTTTCCTGTTCAGATTGCATCTTTTATGTTTTGCTGCAATGGTGCTGAAACATGGATTGGTGCCTTAAACAGCTGTACATAATCGCCAAATGACACAGGTGACCATCTGAGAAAGCCTCATGATATGATTTGGAAGATGAGTTCGGATGGTCGTTACTGTTGCAGGCGCAGAGTCAGACGGGGATTACTTTGAGGTTGATGAGAAGGGTCAGATTAAACTGAAGGAGGGCAAGAAGAAGATTGACCTCAGTAAACTGACTGCAGATGACCTCCGGAAACTCGGCATTGACCCCAATCTCTCCAAACACGAGATTGCCCGGCTCCTGAAGGTACTGTTTCAGAACTGATTAAAGAGTATGTCTACTGCTATATGTGTACAATAAGATTATCGAGTATTGGGTGGCAGTTTCTTTGGGGCTTATGTGTAATATGGGGTGACAATTTTTTTGTTGCTGTTTTTGGTTTTGTTTGTTGTGTTGTGTTTTGTGTGTAGGTGTATGATGATAGGGTAAAAGCATTGCTGTGTGTGAAATAATGGAGTAGGCAGTGCTGTGTGTGTAATATGCGGGTAAGCATTGCTGTGTGTGTGTAATGTTAGGGTAAGCATTGGTGTGTGTGAAATAATGGAGTGCAGTGCTGTGTGTGTAATAAGGCAGTGCTGCTGTGTGTAATATGTAAGCAGTGTTGTGTGTGTAATAAGGGGTGAGCAGTGCTCTGTGTGCAGTAAGCTGTGCTGTGTGTGTAATATAGGGATAAACAGTGCTCTGTGTGTAATATGTGTAATATGTTGTGTTTGTAATATAGGGTAAGTACTCTGTGTGTAATATGCAGTGTGTGTGTGTAATATAGGGTAAGCAGTGCTGTGTGTAATAATATAGGTAAGCAGTGTGTAATATGTAAGCAGTGTGTGTAATATAGGGTAAGCAGTGCTCTGTGTGTAATATAGGGGTAAGCAGTGCTGTGTGTGTAATATAGGGGTAAGCAGTGCTCTGTGTGTAATATAGGGGTAAGCTGTGTTGTGTGTGTGTGTAATATAGGGGGTATAGTGTTGTGTGTGTAAAGGTAAGCAGTGTTGTGTTTGTAATATAGGGGTAAGCAGTGTTGTGTGTGTAATATAGGGTAAGCAGTGCTCTGTGTGTGTAATATAGGGGTAAGCAGTGTTGTGTAATTTGTAAATATGTGTGTAAATAGGGTAAAGCAGTGCTGTGTGTGTAATATAGGGGTAAGCAGTGTTGTGTGTGTAATATAGGGGTAAGCAGTGTTGTGTGGTAATAAGCAGTGCAGTGTTTGTGTGTGTAATATATAGGTAAGCAGTGTTGTGTTTTGTAAGCAGTGTTGTGTGTAATATAGGGGTAAGCAGTGTTGTATGTGTGTAATATAGGGGTAAGCAGTGCAGTGTGTGTGTATAGGGGTAAGCAGTGTTGTGTTTGTAATATAGGGTAAGCAGTGTTGTGTGTGTAATATAGGGGTTAGCAGTGTTGTATGTGTGTAATATAGGGGTAAGCAGTGTTGTGTGTGTAATATAGGGGTAAGCAGTGTTGTGTGTGTAATATAGGGGTAAGCAGTGTTGTGTGTAATATAGGGGTAAGCAGTGTTGTGTGTAAAATGTATTGGGTAAGCAGTGTATGTGTGTAATATAGGGGTAAGCAGTGCTGTGTGTAAAATGTATTGGGAAGCAGTGCTGTGTGTAAAATGTATTGGGTAAGCAGTGCTATGTGTGTAATATAGGGGTAAGCAGTGCTGTGTGTAAATGTATTTGGTAAGCAGTGCTGTGTGCGTAATATGGGGTAAACAGTGCTCTGTGTGAGTAATATACACGTGTGTCATGTTGGAGGTAAGCATTGTGTGGAATGGATTGATACACTGTATGTGGCAATGGGATTACTTTGTAAACGTGTGTCCGTGCATTTGTGTAGTGTATTGTAGTGTGTTGGTTAACAGTATGTAGCATAGGTTGTATGACCCAGATAACCGTTTAGCGACGAAGGTAGTTGATCTTCAATACAACATAAATATGATTAATGGTCAGGACTGAAAATAAAACTTTCTTCTGTGCATTCAGTAATTACGCTTTCAAGGAGCTCGGATTTCAATAAGAATGTTGTCGCCTGGTAAATAATACGAAACAGGCTTTTTAATGTCATCATCATTATAATAATGTTGGTATTATCAAAACTTTGTCCTCAGCACGAAAGTAGAAATTAAATTTGTAGAATGTTTAATTTACTTGTATATAGATACTTCTGTAATTCATCACTAAAGACTATTTTTGTTTTCTCATTTTGTGAAAAACAACTCATATCGTACATTGCTTCAACTGATAGTAAAACCTACGTGACGCCAAGGACGCCATTATAATGCCAGTCATACGTGTCCTTACTTTCGGAAGAGCTATAAACAAACACAAAAAACACGCTCAGGTTAATCAGTTTGTGAGGCCATACACGCATAACGCTACACTAGCTCGTAAAGGGTACATGTCAACCGTCTATAACTTTAAAGTGACTCTACAACCTGTGTGTAATGGGATTTCAGTATAATGATATGTATACGGCATTCTGCCACGCAGCGCCCTAGTGTATTTTCACGGAAGCCGTGTAACCGCATAAACACCTTTTTGCGTGCTGAATGTGAAAATTGAGTTTCTTTAGACTTGGTGATGACAATAAGGTGTTGCTAGCGTGTCTGGTTCCAACCTCGCGTCTTCCTCGTCTCCAACGTTGTTATCAAGTAAACGCACGACATCGTCTATTTTATGCTGTACGTGGCTTAATTATGTAACCACAGACTAGAGGGTCGACTATGCAAATATGGAATTATTGTTTAAAGGTGCTGTAGATCGATAGTTTCTTGTTAATGTATCTGCCTGTTAATGGATTAGTGCTAGGAATTGATAATATTTTGACATTTTATCACTTTGGGGTCTTTTAGTGAAGGCAAATTGATTTTAAAGTTATGTCAGCTGAATAATTCGTACCTTTAATGGATGCACCTGTTGAGCGTTGATGGCTGTGTAGTGCCAGTTATGTTGTTTTGGCACGTACAGTTTCTCGACGAGACTGGACTGGGATTTATATGGAGACAAAGTTCGAGACAGTTTTATGAATTTGCATATTTATTTCACAAATATAAGTGTAATTACCAACCTGGAGTGAGAAAACGAATAGGGATGAATAATTCATTTTGTTTTAGTTTGGTTGTATAACGCCGCACGCAGCAATATTCTAGCTATATGGCGGCGGCCTGTAAATAATCGAGTCCGGACCAGACAATCCAGTGATCAACAGCATGAGCATCGATACGATACGATGACATGTCAACCAAGTCAGCGAGTCTGACCATCCGATCTCGTAAGTCGCCTCTTACGACAAACATGGGTTGCTGAAGACCAATTCTAACGCGGATTTTTCGGGTTCATTTAGACATCATCCCAAGTTTGGTTATTTTTATTAGAGTGTGGTTATACTCTCCACACGTGAATGGAAGTTGGCCAGAAATTGTGGCATGGAAGTGACTAATAGCTTCTGAAGATTTGTCCCACATGTACATGATTGTTAGAATATGAATATCGAGCGAGCATATTATAACAATAGCGAGCCTAACTGAGCAAAGATAATCCTCAGATACACGTTTGTTATCATGTTATTATTGAATGTTGTTTTGCGCCACACTCAACAGTATTCCAGCTATATGACTGGTCACGGTTTCAGTCTCTTCCTAGACCTTGTACATGATAACAGACCCGTGAAGATCTCTTCCTAGACCTTGTACATGATAACAGACCCGTGAAGATCCGGGTTAGAATCGGTCTTCCGTAACCAAGTTTGTCGTAAGAGGCGACTAACAGGGTCGGGTGGTCAGGTTCGCTGACTTGGTTGACGCATGTCATCGTATCCCAATTGCTCATGCTGTTGATCACTGGATTGTCTGGTCCTAGATTTACAGAACGCCATCATTTGGCTGGAATACTGCTGAGTGTGGTGTTAAACATCAAACAAACAACTAAGTTAAACAAGGTGTCCCTCCATTTAAACGGAGTCTGAATCAGAAGCCGAAAGGCTCGTAAAAGTGAGTGAGTACGATTTTACGACACTTTCAGCAATATCACTACTCACTCACTCACCTTTTAGCGCAGGACATATTAATAATGATATTGATAACAGTTATACCCTTTAGGTGATGAAGAAAATATATATTTTTATAGGAGAAGTTTGGTGGAGCGATCCAGATTGTGGACAAGAAGAAAACGGTTGGCACAAAGAAACTGGGTGAATACGACAGTGACGTCAATACTGACGACCTCGCCAACGACAGCGACCTGGATGTGTCGACATGTAAGTCTGTTCGGGTATATATATTTGTCTTCAGCACCGTCTAATACTTATGCAAACGTGTCGTAAATGACAAAGAAATTCTTATGACAGGAATATGTTGATTGTTTCATTGTTGAGTTGTTATAGAATGTATGGAAGTAAACTGAGTCGATGGTTCGTGATATCCGACCTCAATATGGTCGATAGTTCGTGATATCTGACCACAATATGGTCGATGTTCCGTGATAGTTGGTGATATCCGACCACAATATGGTTGACGGTTTGTGATAGTTCATCATATCCGATCACAGTATGGTCGATGATTCGTGATATCCGATATCCCTGAAATACTTCTATAAGTATGGATAGGTAAAAGACATTTAATAAAATTCAAAATCAGCCACGTTGAGGCATTTCTAAACACTGCAGTCAAAATAAAGTAGAAATCAGTAGATGAAAACCAAAACAGTATTTGGAGCAGTCAAGCAAGTCAATCAGCCATGTTAACAGAAAACAGTAAACTACGTTTATAACGAATACGCTTATTTCGAACTGACGAGTACAATGAATTGCTGTTTCGGCCTCAGCCTCTTGCTGTATGTTATAGTCGAAATGCGTATAAGATACTAGGGTTATAACGAACTACAATAAGTAGTTCCCTTTGAGTTCGGTATAACGGTAGTTTACCGTCAACAATTGGTTTTTCAAGCATATATGATGTTACAGGATGTTAAATAGTCTGTCTCGCAGTCCCTGAACCACATTAGTTTCCCTACTGCCTAGCCCTCCCTGCAATGTAGTCTGTCTCACAGTCCCTGAACCACATTATTTTCCCTACTGCCTAGCCCTCCCTGCAATGTAGTCTGTCTCACAGTCCCTGAACCACATTATTTTCCCTACTGCCTAGCCCTCCCTGCAATGTAGCCTGTCTCACAGTCCCTGAACCACATTATTGTCCCTACTGCCTAGCCCTCCCTGCAATGTAGCCTGTCTCAGAGTCCCTGAACCACATTATTTCCCTACTGCCTAGCCCTCCCTGCAATGTAGTCTGTCTCAGAGTCCCTGAACCACATTATTTTCCCTACTGCCTAGCCCTCCCTGCAATGTAGTCTGTCTCAGAGTCCCTGAACCACATTAGTTCCCCTACTGCCTAGCCCTCCCTGCAATGTTAAAGCCCTAAATGAAGCAAGTCTGTGCTGAATCTCCCAGCTCACAGGGGTCCTTTCCTATTTAAATGGGTATATTTGTTACTATCAACATTATATGTATTCGGGGACTAAGCATTAGTCCAGATGTTAAACAGTGCTTGATAACTTACACCTCATTGCTCTCTACAGTGCGCGGGCCACGACGTGTGAACGTGCTGATGAGGAGAGGTGGACAGGCTATTCTTGACCACATCAGGAAGGTGATGGACCAGTCCAACCTCGGGGAGGACTACGCCAAGGACCTGGATGAGAAGGGTCAGTCCACCTCACAGAATAGCCACTGTTTCCGTGACTCATAACGGATACATTTAGGCACTGGTTCCCAAGTCACGTCTTTCCCAATGCAGAGTTGCTTCCCTTTGATGTGCAAGAATCCGATGATCATGGGTTTTACTCTCCCTGATTATGATTCTTTGTTTGTTAGTTGCACCATGCTAATGGGTCCAAAGGTTTTCATCCCAGGTGATACAATTGAAATAGGGGAAAAGGGCAGACGGGGAAAGTTTGGGTACACCGAATTGTCTCTCGATTATATAGGAGGCCAGAAAAATTGAGACTGTTTAAATGTTTTGAAATAGATAAATTTGAATTTAAACTTTATTTCGGGGCAGGGCATTAATCTTAAGGGGACGGGGGAATCCCAAAAGTGTCACATTGAGAACCTAAAGACCTTGTGCTCGACCACATTGAAATGTTATTTTTGATGGGTCGAAAAATCTATAATTCGACCTTGACCTTGTAGGTGACATTGACTTCCTGTCTCACTACCGCCTGGTCGACCCGAAGAAGTTGGAAGCGTACGCAAAATGTTTTGCGGTGGAAGACGAGGATTATGATACCGTCATTAACGCAGGGGTAGGTCTTTTACAACGTCATATCTGGAAGGTGTATGGGTGGCCGAGCGATCTACACTGCATAGCAATTCGCCGTGCAGAGTTGCGTCCCTTGGAAACCCCAGAAACCCATGAATATGGGTTCGATTACACCTCCGCACCGTTGAAGTTTGTAAAGTTTTCAGCACCATTCTCGTGTTCGGCGGTTTCACAAACGTAGAAAACGTCACTAAAACGTCACTTTCGGCTTTGTGCCCACGTTAGGCTTACACGCCGTGATCTAACTGGAATACTGATCAAATCGGCGTCAAACCAAACTCACCCACTCACCATATCGACCATACTGTGATCGGATATGATGAACTATCACAAACGTTAACCATATTGTGGTCGGATATCACTCACTCACTAAAATAGTAATGAAAATAAACACGTTGTATGGGCGTGAATTAGCTGGTAAGTCTAAAAGATGAATTCATGAAGACCATTTACCATGTTAGACGTTGATTTCGGACGATCGGAAAATACGACTTACTTGTGGTGGGATATTCGCTAAAACCACATCGGGACATGATGGTCAGTGACAGAGGTTAGACGTTGAATCTGCTTTAGTAACCGGCAGAAACATCCACAGACAGCAACGTCCAAACCTTGACCTTTGACGGGCGGTGAACTTTCCTAGTGGTTGAAGCATTTGTTCGACTGACTGACTGACTGAGTTTGGTTTTACGCCGCTTTTAGCAATATTCCAGCACCATCACGGCTGGGGACACCAGAAATGGGCTTCACACATTGTACCCATGTGAGAATTCGAACCCGGGTCTTCGGCGTGACGAGCCAACGAGCATTTGTTCGAAACGTCGAAGGCCCAGGTTCGATTCACAGAAGGGTAAAATCTGTGAAGCCCAATTCTGGTGTTCCCCCGGCAAGATATTGCTGGAATATTGTTAAGAGCGACGTAAAACTCAACTCAGTCAGCAATTCAGCCTTTGCATTTGATGTATTCATAGTCTTTTCAGAAGATGTATACATTTTTTATCAGCTTTTTCATTAGTTTTTGATATAAAATGTCCTTTTTTGTTGTTAGGAGACCCGGGTCGCTCTTGATGGCGTGCCCACTATACAACAGATGACCCCTAAACAGATGGAATACGTCCTCAAGGTGAGGTCAAGAGATGATTCTCCTTCGTGATGACCACCACACGTTGTTTCATTGTAAACTGTTCAGTGCAGGGTGTTGAGGTGATATTGGTGAGGTGGAAACTGGCGGAAACTGGTTTCACGTTGTATTAAATATAATGGCGATCGCAGACGTGCATGCACGTGTGTGAGGCTGATTGTGACAACCCCGCCTATTTATTGAGTCATTTCGTGTTTAGATGCTACGGCACCGTCTCTCGATTTAGCATGGGTGTCACACTCAGAAACATTGATTGCTATCTCGCTCAGACACACTGATGTCACATTCATTGATATCCTACTAAGACACATTGACGGATATCCCACTCAGACACACTGATGTCACATTCATTGATATCCTACTAAGACACATTGACGGATATCCCACTCAGACACACTGATGTCACATTCATTGATATCCTACTAAGACTCATTGACAGATATCCCACTCAGACACACTGATGTCACATTCATTGATATCCTACTAAGACACATTGACGGATATCCCACTCAGACACACTGATGTCACATTCATTGATATCCTACTAAGACACATTGACGGATATCCCACTCAGACACACTGATGTCACATTCATTGATATCCTACTAAGACACATTGACAGATATCCCACTCAGACACACTGATGTCACATTCATTGATATCCTACTAAGACTCATTGACGGATATCCCACTCAGACACACTGATGTCACATTCATTGATATCCTACTAAGACACATTGACGGATATCCCACTCAGACACACTGATGTCACATTCATTGATATCCTACTAAGACACATTGACGGATATCCCACTCACACACTGATGTCACATTCATTGATATCCTACTAAGACACATTGACGGATATCCCACTCAGACACACTGATGTCACATTCATTGATATCCTACTAAGACACATTGACGGATATCCCACTCAGACACACTGATGTCACATTCATTGATATCCTACTAAGACACATTGACGGATATCCCACTCAGACACACTGATGTCACATTCATTGATATCCTACTAAGACACATTGATGGATATCCCACTCAGACACACTGATGTCACATTCATTGATATCCTACTAAGACACATTGACGGATATCCCACTCAGACACACTGATGTCACATTCATTGATATCCTACTAAGACACATTGACGGATATCCCACTCAGACACACTGATGTCACATTCATTGATATCCTACTAAGACACATTGACGGATATCCCACTCACACACTGATGTCACATTCATTGATATCCTACTAAGACACATTGATGGATATCCCACTCAGACACACTGATGTCACATTCATTGATATCCTACTAAGACACATTGATGGATATCAGACCACTCACAGACACACTGATGTCACATTCATTGATATCCTACTAAGACTCATTGACAGATATCCCACTCAGACACACTGATGTCACATTCATTGATATCCTACTAAGACTCATTGACGGATATCCCACTCAGACACTGATGTCACCTTCATTGATATCCTACTAAGACACATTGACGGATATCCCACTAAGAGACACTGATGTCACATTCATTGATATCCTACTAAGACACATTGATGGATATCCCACTCACACACACTGATGTCACATTCATTGATATCCTACTAAGACACATTGATGGATATCCCACTCAGACACTACTGATGTCACATTCATTGATATCCTACTAAGACACATTGACGGATATCCCACTCAGACACTGATGTCACATTCATTGATATCCTACTAAGACTCATTGACAGATATCCCACTCAGACACTGATGTCACATTCATTGATATCCTACTAAGACACATTGATGGATATCCCACTCAGACACTGATGTCACATTCATTGATATCCTACTAAGACACATTGATGGATATCCCACTCAGACACACTGATGTCACATTCATTGATATCCTACTAAGACTCATTGACAGATATCCCACTCAGACACACTGATGTCACATTCATTGATATCCTACTAAGACTCATTGACAGATATCCCACTCAGACACACTGATGTCACATTCATTGATATCCTACTAAGACACATTGACGGATATCCCACTCAGACACACTGATGTCACATTCATTGATATCCTACTAAGACTCATTGATGGATATCCCACTCAGACACACTGATGTCACATTCATTGATATCCTACTAAGACTCATTGATGGATATCCCACTCAGACACACTGATGTCACATTCATTGATATCCTACTAAGACTCATTGACAGATATCCCACTCAGACACACTGATGTCACATTCATTGATATCCTACTAAGACTCATTGACAGATATCCCACTCAGACACACTGATGTCACATTCATTGATATCCTACTAAGACACATTGACAGATATCCCACTCAGACACATAGTTAAACATCTAATTAAGACACATTGCTTGATATCCCACTCGACACATTCATTGATATCCTACTAAGACACGCTGCTGGATATCCCACTCAGACACATTGAACTGACTCCCGAGACGTTAACCTCTTTGTTTAACCTCTAAATGCCGAGGGACAGGCAAGGAAACAAGAGAGAGCCGACAGGGGAGTTCGATCCCCACGACGTTAAAAGTAGTCCGGACTAGTAGAAGCAGCCACAACGACGCACAAACACACAAGTCTCTATATTAATGCCATTACCTTGAGCGCCTTAGAATGACATCTTGTCAGCCAATGAGAACACAGAACAACTTTCAGGGCACACACTACTGACAAATAGCCAGTCTGATGCCGACGTAATTGGACAAAACGGAAAACAGTGAAAGCAACAAGTACGTCATGATTTGCCGTTGTATTCGGCAATGTTTCAAGTAGACTGCAGCATTTAGGGCTCCAAACCGAAAAGAACGTTATATAGCGAAACATTTTCAAGCTCATGTAAAATCTCTTACTGATTTTGATAACATATATCTCATGGGTACCAGTCGAACTGCCCCAGCTACAAAATGCCCCAGCAAATTTAGTCATTCATTCTAATTTGGCCAAATGTATTTAAAATGATTAAATATATGCCGTAAATGCATAGTTATTGTCAACTTTGATATTATGTTCTTCATATAAAAGTTATTAGGAAGTAATATTTCTGATAAATTTTCCATTAGTAAACTCATAACTATGTATATACTTTTATTTGTAAAACATAATATCAAAGTTGACAAAACATATGCATTTATGGCCTATATTTAATCATTTTAAATACACTGGGGCGTTTTGACTACCCACTAGGGCAATTTGACCAAAACTTCGGAGCACTTTGACTAAATTTGCTAGGGCAATTTGTAGCTGGGGCAATTCGACTGGCAATCGGACTTTAATCTAATTTATGTTAAAAATACCACTGACAGTAAGTTGTAACAGGGTATGATGGAGTATAAATGAATCTCGTGGGTACTTCTTTCTTCTTTAGCCCAGCTGTGGGATTTTCATACCCCATGTGTGCATGTCTCTTTCGTATCGAAACTCGGAATGATCAGAGCATTTCTCCTGCCTAAATCTGTCTCTTTACTTGGAAAACGGAAGAGATGGTGGCTCTTTCCATTGTTCGATGATTCCGTGCATCCCCAGGCAACGGAATACACCATCGTACCATTTACAAAACGTCAGAAACAACACGATTTGTATTACTGTAGCGCTTGCTCTTTGGCAATATGGCGGACGCTTGTCACATATGACGTCACGAGCGCAAAGGTCACGTGAGTTCCACTGGAATACATGTATTCATAATGGCCGAAGCTCAGATAACAGAAACTGTTTTCGCGATAAAAACATAATAAACCATATTTTTTAAATAAAAATCGCGGTACATGTTTCTGATAACGTTATCTTTCACCCAGCAAATTATTGCAATTGTCTCGTATTCTCCTTTAAACCACCTTTCACCTAAACCTTGAAATTCATGCTATGAACTGGTATCGTAATGACTTTTATGTGTGCTTCAATTAGTTTTAGCTTCCCTCGCCTTAACACTGGTATGTGAACTTAATGACTTACTGCTTTGAAGGTCGTGGCGTAGCTGACTAATATTTCAATTCGGCGTACAATGACGTCGAACTGGTGTACCAACACGTACTGGTGTAATGGTGTACGTGTCTGTACATAAACGGTTTCATCAGCGTTATAACGCAATATTATGTCAAAAAATTGTTCGCTCATGGTGAAAAAGGAAACAGTGGTTTTAAAAATCTTTTTAAACTGCTTCGACCATCCACGCTGAAATTGCTTCCATAAAATAACACGCTGGTGAAAAAAACCTTTGTAATAGGTAACCATCCCGAAAGGTTTCTTGGCGGAGAGATCGCATCTGCGTAGACAATTCCGATATTTTCTCGATGCAATCACTCTGGCGCCTCGCTCAACTCCCTGTGCGCTCATCTATATCTGTTTTCTATGTTAATCTTTACAAAACAACGCTGTCGCGAGCCCATGGGGACTTTAACTCGCTGCACGAGAATTAAGGAAATCACACACAACCGTGCCACGCAGTAATCTAAAGCCGTACTCCACTATTCCGCTTATATTTTATTCACATTTATAATCAAAATTGGTTGTTTTTATGTGAATTCACAAAAGTGCATTTCCATGGTCGTCATTTGATTTATGAAATTGAATTTTAAGAGAAAAATTCGGTCTATTCGTGCGTTTCACGTAATCGTGATTTAAATTTAAACCAATTTAAATTTCTTCCTTAGAACTTAGTTTTGCATGGCATTTACACATTGGCGTAATAATGAAATAATGCGGTGTTAATGGTATCGGTGACCTTGTAATTAATGGATTAAGTAGAACGCGGAGTGATACAGCGGTTAGTTGTGAGCAATCCATCACCGCGGATGAGCTTAGGATTCGGATTGAGTGTTAGCGTGTCATAGTCCCATCTGGTGACTCCGATTAGCGAAAAACGGCCCGATGTCCGAGCCAACGACGATCGTATTATGTGCTTTAATGAAGGAGACCCGTGGTCGCGCTGGTCATAAAAACGTCGAAGCAGGGACTACAGGCAACGTTGAGCTTTCTCCGATAAGATAGGTTGCAGTGATACATGCGACTTGACAAATGCTTCATTGAACCGGGGATCGACGGCGATCCTTGTCAGGAAATATGTCGGAGTTTGTAGGCAAGCTTGTGCAATGTGAGATGAAAGGCTTTCAAACCGCGAAGTCACGGTGCCCGCGACATCTCACACTCTTGTCAATTTGTTAACATTAGATTTTGAAAAATGAATGTTCGTAATTTTGCAATTAAAATTGTATTTCCCTTACTTCATGATTTAATTTGTAACACAGAGTTTGATGAGGTGAGGTTTCTTACAACGCGTGAGCAACTTGTTTATGTTTACAGAAATGTGTGCCCTTATACGCGATGAAGTGTCTTAGAATAGTCCATGTAATGTTCAGTCCCTCGAAGGTCTGTAACACGAACGCCCTGAGAAGTCAAGATCATACAAACCTACACTTATTACAAACCCGTGAAGATCCGAGTTGAATTGGTCTTCAGCAACATATGCTTGCCACAAAAGTCGACTATGCTAGTCTAAGAGGCGAATAACGGGACCGGATGGCCTGGCTCGCTGACTTGGTTGACACATGTCATCGTATCCCAGACTCTTGGTATCTCTCTCCTACACGGCGAATAGCGGTGACCTAATGAGTTTACTACCAACATATAGAGTTATATACCGTAGTATCAAACCTGAGTGAATGAGTGAGTGAGTTCAGTTTTACGCCGCACTCAGTATTCCAGCTATATGGCGGCGGTCTGTAGATAATCGAGTCCTGACCAGACAATCCAGTGATCAACAGCATGAGCATCGATCTACCCAATTGGGATACGATGACATGTGTCAACCAAGTCAGCGAGCCTGACCACCCGATCCCGTTAGTCGCCTCTTACGACAAGCATGAGTTACTGAAGATCAATTCTAACCCAGATCTTCACTGGACACTTCAGCTTTCGACACGGCAGTATTTAACTGTATACGCAACACCTTATACAGACACTACGTGTGACAGAGAATTTGAGCATTTTGGGATAATTACTTTGTGGAAAAGAATAGCCATTCTCTCACAAATACAGAGATAGGCATCACGTGTATGAATGTATTGCTCAAGACTGTTGGAGCGCTAGTAATCTGTGTCTTTTTCCGATTGGATAAAATCGATCCATCTTTTTATTGGAGTGAAGAAGGTCATCTCCAGATACGAATCTGTATGCTGGAAGCACGATGTTCTGAACGACTTGAATACTGCACGGAGTCGCAGTTTAGAGGCAGACCCAGTCGTCTAGGTCGCTGTAGAGGTGTACCGTGTGTTGTTGACCTGCTAGAAACGTATGATCGTGGGCCCGAAGCCCGGTTTGCTCCGATCATGTTCCTTGGTTTCGGCACTATTTATTTCTGCTTCTGCTATTCACCGTAACATCTGAATGTGAGTGAGTGAGTTTAGTTATACGCCACGTTGAGCAACATTCCAGCAATATCACGGCGGGAACACAAGAAATAGGCTTCACACATTGTACCCATGTGGGAATCGAACCCAGGCATTCGGCTTGACGAGAGAATGTTTAAACCACTGGGCTAGCCACCGACCATCGTAACATCCGAGATTTGCATCCCTTACCTCATCAAACGGGGCGCTGGGGCAGGCTCCTGATTCACGCTTTCTCTCTTCACCCCTTAGCCCCGGAATTCGATTCCCACATGGGTACAATATTGGAAGCCCATCTCTGGTGCCCCTGCCGTGGAATATTGCTTAAAGCGGCGCAAACCCCAAAGTACTCACTCCAACATTAAGCTGGAGTCTTGATTTAATTGAAATAGCATTCAAAGCAGCGTAAAACCATACTCACTCACTTACTCACTCACTCATGGCTAGCGACTATACATGACAGGTTTATACAACAGTAAATTAGTCAAGTACTGGAGGTGTTACATCAGTTCCTGATGAGCTCCTTTTAAAATTGATTTTCTGCACAAATGCAAAGTGATTACTATCGATGAATTTGTAATCACCGTTGTTCGTTTGTCCAGGTGTTGAAGATCGATGACGCCAGCCAGGTGACCTTCAGGATGTTTGCAGTCATCTCAGCTCTCTCGGAAAGGGTCACGATGATGGAGTGAGTTTGAACGACATTTTTTATTCGAACGACTTATAAACACAGAAACAGCTTCAGCCAGCTGTATGGCAGCGTTCAGTCGGGCTGGCCCTCATAGAATATTGATCAGTAGCGTGCTTGACGCCTTCATCCTACCCAAGACACTCGATCCACACTGAATTTGGTTTAACAGAAAAGATCCGCACCAAAAAATAGCTGGGTAATATTGATTAATAATTACAAATCTCACATTCCGAAACATCGACTCCAACAAAGTAAATTAATTCCGCATCTGTTCTAATTAACGTCTCTAGTTGTTTGAGTAATGAATTTCGGTTGAACAATTGACAGAGAGCCCCTCGAAGTTCGTGACATCAGGACTTGGACGTACATGTAATATAATGAATTTTAAACAACGTTATAGGCCCTGGCTTGTGGTGCTGGATGTACTGTTAGGGTAGCCTAGTGGTTAAAGTGTCATCTTATTGCGCCAATGGTCCGTGTTCGATTCCCCTCAAGGTTACAATAGGCAAGGACAATGTTACGCGTCCTCCTGTGTCAAAGCAAGAGAGGGGAACCTTCTATCTTTTCCAACATTATGGGCTGTGGGTTCGAATCCCGATACTCTACCGTTATGTCAGCACCATATCTGTGCTCTTTAAATTCACTAAAGACCTAAACGTTTCAATAAAAGTGCGACAAAACAGATCAATACCCACGAGAAACCTCTGCAGGAAACATAATTACCTTACCATTCTGACAGTATATGTTTTAAGCATAAGCATCTGTTTGGAGTTTTTATCAAGCGGTAAAGACACATGGTGTTCTTGAAAACACGGGCTGAACCTTTTACAAACACATGCAAAGGCTAGTTAAGTATTCAGCTGAAAAGTTAAACGGATACATCCTGCATCACTCCGGGCTTTCCAGTCACGCATGCCGAGATGTAACTGAAGTACTTATCCAAACGGCCGATCTACCCACTGACTTCAGCAATGGTTAAAACCTCACTCACTCACACACTCTATCGTTCCAGCCCCGTGTCAAAACACTTGATTGAGATATGTGACCTACTGGACATCCAGCGTAAGATGGACCTTTACAAAGCCATGTTCTACTGCAACGTCAACTCCGACAGAAACTCCAACTTCATCAAGGCAGATTCCCTGCGTATAGAACTCATCGCCGGCGGCCTGAACTGGAAACAACAACAGTACATCATGGAACGACTCCAACCCAACTATTTCAACGAGGTTTGTTTGTTTTCTTTTGTTTTGTTTATTTTTAGGTTTGTCTTTTTGTCTTTCATTTTTCTTATAGTTTTATTCCAGCTAATTGGGAGCTGTATCCCAGTGGTTGAAGCCTGGTATGCTAAAGAGCCGTTTCGATTTCCGCTTTGGTGCAATATGTGAAGCTCATTTCTGGCATTGTCCGCCTTGCAATTAGTGGAATCATGCTAAAAGTGGCGTAAAACGTCACTCACACTTACTCTATGGATGTTGTTTGTAATTAATCCAGTCTCAACGAAACCGTCTAGTGATTGACATCCTGAGCATCGATCCATGCAAATGAGATACGATTGAAGGATATATGTTTATCTGGGAGTACGTTTAGCCATTCTTGGTTATCAGAGATATATCTCCTTTCTTTAACGGTAAATACCCTCGAGACCATAGCTTCTTCCAATTAGAAATGGGCGACATTAAAAAATTGCTGTCGACCCTGATAACCTTTGAGCGAGAGAATATACATGCGAGGCTTACTGATAGGAGAGTCGGAGAATGTGAAGTGGCTGCTTGAACGATGTTATGGTGACGTATCGGCCAAGGGTACTTATAATAATACATGGACATACGATACGAGGGCTGGCATGGGTAACCCGGATACCCGGGACGGGTGGGTAATGAGTTGGACCCGGGTACCTGTCTCAATACCCGGACCCGTTATGATCATGCGACTAATAGATTAAACAACGTAATATGTTATTCTTTAATGATTGAAAGGTTGTATTATCTTTGAAGATTTAGGCATAATTACAGTCACTACTTTTGAATATAATACATGGTTAAGATATTGAAAAACTCGAAATTTTAGCCTCCGAGCTGAAGAATCTATTGTCATTTCTTACAAATTTGATGTCAGGAATTAACATAACGGGTATCCGGGTAGGCAGGGTAATAGGTGGTGGGGTACCCGGGTAGAAAATTTGTACCCGCCCCAGCTCTATACGATACAGGATAATCGAGAACGAGTCACGCGTGGATGGACAGCTACAATTCTGACAAGCTGTATGGATAACAACTTCTTTATTTCGTGAGTGCGACGCTTCGATACAGAATCTTGTACCTTTGTCAAGCAGGAAGGAGTCTGTATGGAAACGTCGCACTCACGAAATAAAGAAGTTGCTACCCATAAAGTCCATCTATATTGTACTTCCCAACTTCTAAAATGCCACTCAAAGAAGAGCCTATATTAGCCCCCAGAGAGTTGTCTCCCTTTATTGTGTCAGGAATCGGTGATGTTAGGTTTACTCTACTATCAATTTCGTGATTGTGGGTGTTATCAAAGTAGAAAATTTCTAACCAGTGCCCTTTTAGACTCTCTTCCCATGTTTGTCAGTTGGGTTTAACTGACTGACTGACTAGGTTTGGTTTTACGCCGCTTTTAGCAATATTCCAGCAACATCACGGCGGGGGACACCAGAAATGGGCTTCACACATTGTGCCCATGTGGGGATTCGAACCCGGGTCTTCGGCGTGAAGTTGGGTTTAAAGCCGCTTTGAACAGTATTTCAACAATATCCAGACATGTCACCCTGATGAGGGAGGAAATCCCGAAGTAAAGCATGGCTGAGACGCTCACAACATTGACAAAACCCATGGTACGGATACAGTGCTGACAGGTTCAAACATAATGCGTAGAACCGAGATTCGAACCTATCCAAAACTGTGAGTGAGTTAGCATAATATAACGCCATGTTTTCAATACCCAATCAATATCACAACAGCGACACCAGAAATTGTCAGGCAATACCATTCAGTATGGAAATTCTTGTTTACCTGGTTTTCCTAAGCACATTTACATTTTCGATAAAGGACGCTATTTCGATTTAAAACGTCAAAAAATCTCAATTCTATTCACAAACTGTGAGTGCAGACAATCTAATGGTAGAAAGGTTATCGAGGTCCCTGTGACTTTGTATCAGAATAGTCTTGTGAAAGCGGAGGATTCGTAAGGAGAATACAGGCGGGATAATTTGAAAATCGATCCATGCCAGAATTAACGAAACATGGACCACGTAGACCTCAGAGTGTGTTAATATATCCCACAACGACCCGGCAATAAACCTCAACAAGATATTTATTGTCACATGAGAATTGATTTTTCTCAGTTTCATTCCAAACCGACATCGCGACGGTCTGAGCATCGAAGCTCGTTTCTGCACATGTCCATTGTCTCAAGGCTATTAGTAGACATGATTGCAATGGTGAATTTGCATGGTGTGGTGTAATGCAATCCTAGCATTCACACTCTCACTAGACTCCCTGTAATGTTCTTTAGAAATACGATTCCTTGAATCAGACAGGCCACTTTGCCATAGGAACCCTCAGACACTACGGTATTGCTTTTGCGACGAAGATCCTTTCTGCTTCCCAATCATGATGGCGTCGTCTGTATACTGTTGTGCTCCATTTCACACAACACTTCCCTCCTAAATATCCCTAATTGATCGAGATTTCCCTTTTAAAAAATGCAATCTTTTGACCTCATAATTGTCCATTTGTTCAATTCCCGATCCCAGAAACATATTTCCTAAACACAATTAACTAGAAAATGTCAAGGCGGTTACCGGGAATCTTCTATACGCCTTTCCCAACAACCAACTACCGTGAGACGGCAGAACACATCCGTCAGCCGTGTTTCCATGAAAAGCCCGCTCAGTCTAACTCTTCCAAAGAGGTCTGTCTCCACAAAGTGCTCTTTTAACACAGATGAGTCTAGACTCTAATAGTGTTTTGATGAAATCATATCCATAAATAAGTGGATTTCCTGAGTTAATGACAACAGGCAAGTAGTCTTTCTGTCACTTACGGCCAGTTTAGAATACATATAAGCGTAATATTGGCGTTGCAAAGAGTATCACCCTTTAGAACTCGCTATTAAGAGTTCACTGTAAGTGATTTACATTTGGTCAAAGCGGCTTCTCAAGGATTGCCTGTCGTTAACGGCCCATTAAGTCTTGTTTCCACGTATCAGAGGCGATACTGTCATCTTTTTTTAATTTACTCCTATCTCAAAAGAACGTACATTTCAATCGATGAAGTGTGGGCGTGCTGGTTTTACTCAATTAGTATATCGGATGCCTGCTAAGTGTCTTATATACTGATAATACTGCTGTAGAAAGGGTCTCTGAACAGATTCCACCTCTCAGAGGCTAGCTAGTATCTCATCATTGTTCATCGTTCTTGTTCATGATCATAAAGCGACTGCATTTAAGTGAGTGAGTGAGTTAGGTTTTACGCCGCTTTTAGCAATATTCTAGCAATATCGCGGCGGGGGACATCAGAAATGGGCTTCACACATTGTACCCATGTGAGTGAGTTTAGTTTTACGCCGTACTCAGCAATATTCCAGCTATATGGTGGCGGTCTGTAAATAATCCAGTCTGGGCCAGACAATCCAATGATCAACAGCATGAGCATCGATCTACGCAATTGGGATACGATGACATGTGTCAACCCGATCCCGTTAGTTGCCTCTTACGACAAGCTTGGGTTGCTGAAGATCAATTCTAACCCGGATCTTCACGGGTCTTGTACCCATGTGGGGAATCAAACCCGGGCCTTCGGTGCGACATGCGAACGCTTTAACCACACCGCTCCGACTGCATTAAAGACTTGTGGGATGAAATAACCATGTTTAGGAGGGTTATCTTTATTAATTATGTAGTATATTTAAAGTGTGTCTGTACGTGTGGTATAATCAACGACACTACACGACCAACTCCGTCTTGCAACGTCCAGCACATATCTAATCCATTAACGTCCCACCAAGTAACGTGGATATTGCAAAATACATGATCATATATCATTGGGTATTCGTTTCATTTTACCATTAAATAATTACCACTCTTCCATGAAAGAAAGTTTGTTGACTTGGACATGATATGTGAGGATTTCTTTTTCGTCGCGATACGTTTCCAGGAAATATGTAAGCACAGCAGTTGTATCTTTAAGTCATAAGCAGTACAGTTTGGCATTTTCTTCCCTTAAATAATATACAGTCTTTGCAAGCGGTATCGGGTATGAGCACTCTCTATTAGGACCTTTCAGTATAACTCTCACCTCCAAAAAATCATTCCAGATGTCTGTGTCAATATTTTGTTAATTTTGAATCTTTTAAAACAATACTTTTCTCTGTATGTCAACCATGATGTTAAAGATGATTCTATTCCTTATCGGACCCCCTCCTCCACAGATTGAGCTGTGTAAATACTGTGAATTCATGCTGTTTCTACTGTTACATTGTAACGGAGAGCGGAAGGTCGCGCGTTCGATCCCCGACCGCGTCATACCAAAAGACGTTAAAATATGGTACTTGTTGGTCTCTGCCTGGCGTTCGGCATTAATGGGTACAACCAGGACTGGTCGGCTTGGAGTCAGTATAATGTGTCTGAGTGGGGTATTCATGCTTCACTGCGGCATGGTATCTCAGTGGGCTAGCTCTCAGCTTAAGTCTGGGCTAGTACAAGCAGCCGCACATACCTATACACAAGCATGCACGTCGTCATATGAGCGAAATATTCTCAAGCACGACGTTAAACCCAATTTCACCTCACCTCACCTCTATTCCTTATCTTTGAATGATAAACTTGGTGTTTTACATGGCTCTATTGATGATAGGCGGGATGTTAAGATGAATTAATTCAAAACTTCAACGCCAGGGAATGATCAGTCTCGAATATCTGTCGAATCTGATTCTGTTGGGCGTAAAGTTCAAAACAGTGAAGAAAAGCATTTAAATTGATCGCCGCAAAACTTGATGACATCAGATCGCAAAAGTAAGCTCGTCCTCGTCTTCTCACAAGTTTCATTAGCCAGTGAGTAATGGCCATAGAGTGGGATAGCATCTCTTACAGGCAACGTGTTGTATTCAGTTTCTCTGAATATCTAGCATATATTCCTGGAATGACTTCACCAGGTTTTGAATGGCATTTAGTGATACACATAAGGAAGAGAGTTTTATGGATGTCAAGTTCTTTATTATGAGGAACACAACGTATCGGGGTATAACCTTACCAGGGGTGGAAATAACCCATTGCCCGACGTCCGAGTCCAGTGTTTTTTCTGTCGGGCAAGCAAATTTGTATATCACACTGTACCGGTGTCCATTAACTTTCCAATGTTAATTATGTTGTTGATTTAAAAAATCAGCAGGAAAACGTCGGTATAGTGGAAAAAATTATCAGGGCAAGTGACATTACATGTGCCACTGTACCGGAGTACACTATCAATTTTAAAGTTATTTCCACCCCTGCTTACTCCTTCATCAATGAATGAGGCAGAGATCATATGTATGTATATGTAAGAACAACAACAGACAACAAAGATGCAGGCTAAACAAGGAGTTAGGATACTCCGTGTGTTCTCATAATAACGAAGTTGACATCCATAAAACTCTTTTCCTGAGGCCTTTGTGGGTGAAACCTTGATTGCAAAGTTTCTCTGTAAGTTAAATGGATTTTGATTAAGTTTAAATAAAAATATACATGTACAACTAAACAACTGAAAATGCAGACGCTACACCGTTCGCATGAAGACGAAATTCAAGACTAGAAAATCGAAATCATCCTCCTTCTCGGTACAGAGGCTGAGATCATCTTCTATGCACAGTTCCAGATAAGACACTAGATATGATTTTACAGATATTATTTATTTAAACTCCTATGTGAAGTGGCAAAAGTCATTTATCTTGTTGGAAGAAATACACCAGGATCGTTTTGCAGTTCTCTGTATGAAGACAATATGTTACGTATGATAGGAATTACGAGGTTCAGCATGGTTCGTTTTCCACTTGTCTGCAGGCTTACCATGATGTTAAAGATGAGGGTAAGCAGATATCTGCTTCTGGTCTGGATGTTAAGCTTAGCTCCTGTATCAAGTCTCCGTATAATGTCAATGATAATGACGTTATGCGTGGATGAAAAGATTGAATGTGTGAAGCATGATTCCTGATTTTTCACGAATGAAAGCAACTACATGCAGTTTGTTTCTTTTTGTTTAGTTCCTGTTTGATATCGCTGTATGGTTTACATTCCAGATCTCCTTCCTCGACTACATATGCTACATCCCGCTCTTCCTCTCCATGCACGACAACATCGTCGACAACCCCCTGGACATGTCCGACGACAAGTACGACTCCATGCTCCGCAAGCCGTCAGGAGGTCATCGCCAGAGGGACGTCAACCCTCTTGGTCAACCGCTGGACAAGAAGTCTTCATATCAGTTGCGGCAACAGGCCCTGGATCTACTGGAAGGTCGCATCAACATCGACGACGTGAAGAAGGAGGACAGGGAGATGCTGCAGAAATACACGACGTGAGATTTCATAAAGATTAAGTTTTAGCGCCATGTTAGAGTTTTGATGGTTAAACAGTGAAGGTATATATTTTGCAGGATATCTTTTTGACATGTTTCCTCAAAACATCGCCACACCAAAAGCATGTTCAGCATGTTAATTACTCAGTGTGCTATCGTTTTCATTTTCAACTCCTTTGGAAGTATACAAAACAAATTGCCTAGCTGAGGCTCTTAAAAATTAACAGTCACATTTCTATCTCTTCCTACCGGGTACCCATTACTGACGGTTGAGGTGTTAACTCACGAATGATATGATTTGCAGGATACGTTCGGTTTCAAATTATTGCCCCAATGTGGTTTTATTTAAAATCTAGCATTTCCGATATACTTTGTCATTGGTAAGGGAATTAATATTGTTATGTGCCTTTCGTCCGTGCATCAGGTCATATTTTGCTTACGATTTTTATTCTTTAACTTTGCATGCACCATTATTCAACAGTTGTATGATTCTTGCGGATAACTTTCATCCTTGAATTTTATCAATCACGTTTATTGCCCAGCTCTGATGTCAATCGTTTCAATCATTGTGTAAATAGAGACAGCCATGGTCATGCTGGTGGAAATATATTTGGCAGACCCGTCCTGTTAGCGGCTGTTTTCGAGAAACGTTGTATTTAAGACTCCATCTGCTCATAAATATGCCATTCTACAATAGAATTTACACAGAGACCCATGTGTGCGTTTGTGTGAATGGGAAACAGACATGAAAAGGGGTTCGTGAATTATTCGCTGTCTCCATCGCCGACCATTGTAAAAGATTTAGTATTTGACCGTCTTAATTTTGGTTTGAATAATCGTGAACACTTCGTGACCACCCGGTGTCATGTCTGACTTTCAGCAATCCATTTATTAAATTTCACCAATATTTTCCCTTTCAACCCTGACATTCCATATTGATGAGCGCAACTAACTGAATAAAACATTCTGGTTACATTAGCATACCATTATGTATGCCAGGTTGTTGTGAGATGCGTCATCGCACTGAAATGTATTTCAAACGAACACATGTATAACGTAAAGCTACCAAGCACTAATACAGTTTTTAAAGTCCCAAGTCCTGGCTAAACAATCAGCATTTGCTATATCGTATATCTTCAAGACATCCTTGCTCTCTGATTTTTAAATTTGTTATTTGACAGACTTTGGGAAGCTGATTAAAAAAAGATTTCATTGTAATGTTTGTGCATGTGTATGTTGGGCGATGGGGTAGCCTAGTGGTTAAAGCGTTCGCTCGTCACGCCGAAGACCCGGGTTCGATTCCCCACATGGGTACAATTTGTGAAGTCCATTTCTGGTGTCGCTCGCCGTGATATTGCTGGAATGTTGCTAAAAGCGGCGTTAAACCATACTCACTCACTCATGGGTATGTTTGCTATGTCCTATATAGTTTCTGAACTATAGGTCTATAGTCGGTCCATGGCAGAGTTGAGAAAGAACTCTTTCTGGAGCAGATGCGTGCTATGTACGGTCTTATTTTGGAAATTCGTAGCATTATAATTTGATGTGTAATTTCTAAGTTATGACATGACGTCAGTTAATAATGCTGGGTGGCTATATGTTAATATGATTAACATTTTCACTTGTCCCTTCCACCGTGCGGAAGTCCCTTTAATTAAATGTTGCGTCTGATCAAGCCAATGGTCTGTTATGTCTGATCAGAAACGGGTCTGTGTTATTTCAGCAAATACAGTGTTCGTGTTGTTTGATCACACTCAGGATCTGGGTTGTGTTTCAAAAATGGAAATCACCAGTTTAACCCAGAAATCGGTTCGAGCTGGATCATGAAATCAGTAAATGACCTCTACGGAGCAATGAATGATCAATTCATTATATGTTATTTTAACATACACAGTTTAGGTTTACATTAAAATGGCGAAACAACGGGTCAAATAGCAGCAATAAGTAATAGGTTCCGTAAAATACCCTAGTACATGTCGAATGATTAGAAGTAGGGCTCCGCTCTTGTATACAGAATGCTGTTTAAAAGGTGGTACGAAACCAAACAAGTATCTGTAGCGCACATGATAAGTATATACATGTAAGTCAGGTCGCCTAATCACCTCTTGTCACTCTTAAAGGACCGCCTCCGTGGTATAATGGTTAGAGCGTCCGCCCGGAGTGCGGAAGGTCGCGGGTTTGATCCCCGGCCGCGTCATACCAAAACGACGTTAAAATGTGGTACTTGTTGGTCCCTGCCTGGCGCTCGGCATTTATGGGTACAACAAGGACTGGTCGGCTCGGAATCAGTATAATGTGTCTGAGTGGGGTATTCATGCTTCACTGCGGCATGGTATCTCAGTGGGCTAGCACTATAAAACCAGCTTAAGTCTGGGCTAGTACAAGCACCCACACACGCATGCACGTCGTCATATGAGCGAAATATTCTCAAGCACGACGTTAAACCCAATTTCACCTCACCTCACTCTTAAAAGCTACAGACAGCCTTCTAAGAACTGTCCCATCCAGAAACTTCTCCAACGATCAAGACTGCCACGTTCATGTAGACAGCAAATTTTAATTATAGTCCTCTCGTTGTTGCCGATCACTGTTCAGTTCTGGCACTTAATATTGCGTTTAGTAGTTCAAACATTTTCTGCTACTAGCAATGTCTAAATATATATTTACAACAGATTCTCCCGACCAAAATGTAGCTTGCAAATAACAGTTGTTCGGTCAGGGTCTCATGGGTCCCTGATGTTTGATATCAAAGACTTCATTCATGTCTATGGTCTGCCAGTTGAGTTGCCACGACACTAATACGTTCAGGGTCTCGTTTCACAAAGAGCTCGTAGCCTCTGATTGTAGTAAACTTATGTTGAAGTATGGGAGATACGACCACTATAGCCTTGAGATCGTATTGTGGAGGTTGACCGAGGTTAATAGACTGTCTGACTTTGTACATAATATGTATAGGTTTAAGTACAACTGAAGACACAGCACGTTCTTTGAACACGTGTAAAGGCCTAAATATGTTTAAGTTTCAATCATATTTCGAATTGTCTGTACAGAATGTTTCTTACACTAACATCTAATCTCGGAAATTAACATATTTTATGAAATTATGAAAAAAACGTTTCTAAATTATGTCCATAAAATATAATAAAAATGAGCTCCGAGACTTTCTTCATTTTCAGAATGGTAATCTAGACTTGCACATATTCTAGACTGACATGGGCTGCGTTGGGTATATAATTTTCAGGGTATCTATGACAGATTATATGTTTATGATCTAAATGGTTTCGTGCGCATCTTTCATTAGGTAGTGAGTTCAATAAGACTACTTGGGTTACTTCTTCCATTATGTGGTAATATGTCAAACGAACATGTATGATATCATAATTTTTCAGTTTTGAATAATTTCTATTTAGTTTAAAATATCCAAAGAGACATTAACGTTAACACCGTCATGATCATGACCTTGACCTTTGTCCTTTCAGATTACCCAAGATCCTTGAGTCCGCTCCTCCAACGCCAAGATCGACATCAAGCCTTGGATGACAAGAGCCATTGATTCACTTAAACCGACAAAACCAACACGTGAAAAATGCAAAGAGAGAAAGAAGCAAGATAATCGAAAATGATAAATAAAGACTTTTGCGAATGCAATTCAATTAAGAACGCTCATTTAATCATAGTTTTTTTGAAGATGAAAATTGTCAGAAAACGAACTGTTCCTCTAATTTGGCGAGAGTGGGATTCATATGAAATGGACAACCTCCATTGTGATAGTGAGAAACCTCAAAATGTTTGGACATTTTAGTCCGGACACCACGCATACCGGACAGTGAATATAATGAATGTCCACATATAGAGAATATATTTCAATGTCAGATGAATCAAAACGAGTCCATAAAATCAAAACTACGAGACTTGACGATAAATAGATATAAAGCGAATATCACTCCCAATATCAAATTTCAGCAACTACAAGTAACTGAAAAGTTAAAACTTCGGGGCTTGCCAAAATAATTCTTCCAACCGTTTTTTTAATCAGTTTGTAATCATTCCTAATGATTTCACCAAAAGCTATTTTGTCCGGAAAAAACGGGGTTATTCTTTTATTTCATACAGGAAAATTGTAATTTTCAGTTAGGAGTGTGTGTATTTCGTTTCCTTACAGTTACCAGTTTTGTATATATAAATCTAAAATGTCTAATTTATTTTCTTAAATGTGTGAAACTGTATAAAATGGTGCTAATACTTACCGCTAGATATCATAACGTGTTGATTATGAGAGAATAACATATCTTTGTGTGTCAATCACGATATTTTGATTGTCGTATTATATACTGAACTTCAGTATTCAGATTTGTGTGAAATATCGGATTCCAAACCTAGTGTTTGCTATGCATCTTAAAGTGCTCCTTCGTATCTCTGACAACACTAATTGTTTTGAAATGTAATGATTTTATGCGTGTTATGAGTGGGAATGTTCTCAAGTGAAAGATCGTAACTGTTTCTGTAGTCGTTAAGATCTTAATAACTGGATACACTGCTATTCCCTTTCATGTTATGACTTGGCTTAAGACAATTAATGTCAAGTTTCTCTATTTTCACTGTTTCACATTTTACCGTAATACAAATAATTCTTTCTAATGTCTTATAAACATTCATGTTTAGTTTGACCATTCTCGTCAAATAGTTTCATAATATTCTCGTAACAAAAGCCAAAGGTTAAATAGCAATAAAAATTCAACTTCTAAATGAGCTCGCCTAGCGTTATGATGTAATGTATAATTTATTAATCATTCAACTGACACAATAAACAATTAATATTTTCTTATTGATCTAGGTTTTCTATTAAATGTGTTGAAAGCTCAAGAAGAAAATACACTACTACATTTCATGTATGTCTGCGGTTCCATAAAACAGGTAATATAAAATCCCTCAGTTGTTTGTTTATAAATCGGCAGCAGTTGGATCTGTGTGTGTTTGTTTTAAATAATGTGACCTTTAACCTCTTAACGAATGCACCGTGATGGCCGCGTCGCCATATTGTTTTAATCTCCAAGCTAAAGAGCTGTGATAACAAGTTTGATACCCGTTTGGTACTTATCCGTCCTGTTCCAATGTGCCAATATTTGTTTATGTTTATAATGTTTGTAAGAGTGATTTGAATAAACATCAGCAACTGAGTGGAGTTTTTTGTGTTTCTCAATCATGAATTACAATCAATTATGTTGCAATTGATCTATAAATATTCACAAACCACCTGCATGACCTGATGGTACATAGATGACACAGCACGGTAAGATCTTACTGATCTGTTACTGCACGATAGCATGTTAGTGAGATGTTATTGCACGATCTGATGGTACTGAACTATCATCGCACACCTAATAACACTTTGCTTTTATCGCATGACCTGGTGTTACTGAACTGTTATTACATGACTTGGTGTTACTGAACTGTTATCGCATGACCTGGTGTTACTGAACTGTTATCGCATGACCTGGTGTTACTGAACTGTTCTCGCATGACCTGGTGTTATTGAACTGTTATCGCATGACCTGGTGTTACTGAACTGTTGTTGCATGACCTGGTGTTACTGAACTGTTATTGTATGACATGGTGTTACTGAACTGTTATTGCATGGCTACTGTTACTGAACCTGGTGTTACTGAACTGTTATTGCATGACCTGGTGTTACTGAACTGTTATCTCATGACCTAGTGTTACTGAACTGTTGTCGCATGACCTGGTGTTACTGAACTGTTATCGCATGACCTGATGTTACTGAACTGTTGTTGCATGACCTGGTGTTACTGAACTGTTATCGCATGACCTGGTGTTACTGAACTGTTATTGCATGACCTGGTGTTACTGAACTGTTATCGCATGACCTGGTGTTACTGAACTGTTATCGCATGACTTGGTGTTACTGAACTGTTATCGCATGACTTGGCGTTACTGAACGTTTATGGCATGATGATATTGAGCTGTTATCGCATCTCCTGATTTCCACTGGGTTGTTACCGCACGCCTGATAACACTTTGCTGTTATCGCACGACCTGATGTTATTGAGCTGTTATCGCATAACCTGGAGTTACAATGCTGTTATTGCACGGCCTAAAGTTATTGAACTGTTATTGCACACCTGCTAGCCCATTGCTGTTATCGCACGATCTGATGTTATTGAGCTTTTATCGCATGACCTGAAGTTACAAGGCTGTTATCGCATGACCTGAAGTTACAAGGCTGTTATCGCACGACCTGAAGTTACAAAAAAAAGCTGTTATCGGACGACCTGAGGTTGTGCAGCTAATCGCATTGATCTTATAGATAGATCATTGACACTAGGTATGACGGGGTAGCCCAGGGGTTAAAGCGATCGCTCGTCACGCCGAAGACCCGGGTTCGATTCCCCACATGGGTACATTGCGTAAAGCCCATATCTTGTGTCCCCTGCCGTGATATTGCTAGAATATTGCTAAACGGCGCAAAACTGAACTCACTCACTCATTAACACTAACGGATTATGATGTGTCCGTTCCACTTTCCTTTTCTAAACTTGTAAACTCACGTTTCATCTCTCAAGATCGAATCACGCCAACCTCTCGCGAGATTACCAGTGAGAAGCCACAAGGTCACGTGTTTAATCAGCATCTGACGCACATATTCCTAATTAGCATAACAGCTCCCACTGTAGGAAGAGTAACCTACAATGAACGCTCAGAGTCACAACCACGTATACCCACGTCTACAGCGCCATCATGTAACCGGTTTCATCCACAGAATTGCACGTCTTCACGGGCACACTCACGTTCATATTTAAACACTCACTCATTCCTTCACTCACTCACGCACACAGGCAATATTATTTAACAGAATAATTGGCAATTTTAACATCTTGGCAAGGCTCAAATGATGATTCCAACTCGGTGAGTTGAAACAAACTTTTCAAATCTTCCTTCTGGATTATGTCAGTAACTAATATTGGTAGACACATAAACATCAATGTCTCGTTGTAACAGCTTTTGAGAAGTCCATATCTGGTGTCTGCCACCGTGATATTGCTGGAATATTAATAAATGCGGCATAAAACCATATCCTTCTGCGTCTGTGACACTGTCAGCTGACTGTCGTCTTCATAATGGGATCAATATAAAATATCTAACAGATAGAGCATTTAGCGTTTTGGGTTCAAAAGCATACTTCTGTAATCACGTGACCTAATGAATACATATTTTATTTAATGACGCAGATAACCTTTGAGTCTTATGCTTCGTCTCAATAAAATTAACAAGCATGACATTAGGAAGTTCGATATTGAAACGTTTTTCTTTTCGTATAACAGAGCACTATAACATGCGTGCGATCCACTGCACTCCACCTATTGAAACCAGTAGATCTATCTTAGCGTACACCCGTGAAGATCCGGGTTACTACATAATTAATTAAGATAACCCTCCCAAAGTCTTTAATGCAGTCGGAGCGGTGGAGTAGCGAAGTTGTTAAAGCGTTCGCAGGTCGCACCGAAGACCTAGTGTGGGTACAAGACCCGTGAAGATCCAGGTTAGAATTGATCTTCAGTAACCCATGCTTGTCGTAAGAGGGGACTAACGGGATCGGGTGATCAGGCTCGCTGACTAGGTTGACACATGTCATCGGTTCCCAAATGCGTAGATCGATGCTCATGCTGTTGATCACTGCTTTGTCTACTCCAAACTCGATTATTTACAGACAGCCGCCATATAGCTGGAATATTGCAGAGTGCAGCGAAAAACTAAACTCACTGACTCACTATCTTAGCGTACACCTATTTAGACTGTTGGTCTTTTTCACGAGTGCTTAAATCCGAATTGGTATGGATACCAGGGTTTTTCCACCTGGCGTAGTTTATCCTAGATCTGTATCATTCGGACAATATTGTACATATCAGATCTTTACATCATTGATTTGAGGTAAACGATTCCGGTTTGTATATTCCGAATGTAATGACAACAGTTCGGCAAATCGAGAGGAAATGTACATCATATGTTAGCGGGTACGCTGAGTGTTCTCAACCAATCAGAATCGACCTTCATATGTACGGTAAGATGTTTGTCTACAACCTTGTAACCTTCTGTAAACGTATTTGTTTATATGTATATAAGTTGAGATTATAAAATTATCTAAGTTTGAAAAGTGTAATAAGAACCCCAAACAGTTCGAGACATTTTAGTCACGAGATCACCTATTACCATGACAACGCTCACGTGCATGACGCGTATATTACATAGACAAATGAACCAATTTCGTCAGACTTCAGATCAATAAACATCAAATACCATTGGTAATTACTCACAGTATCATTGTGTTGACTTACAAACCTCATACGGACAAATATTATCACATGGGGTATTTATTAAAGAAATAATATTTGATTTCAAATTTCGTTATATCTGTCTCATCACATTCTCACGACTGGTTTAGTAATAACGCTACGCTATGAATGGAACGCTATTTAGCGTCATGGTTTTGTTTTGAACGTACGAAATGAAGGGAAGGTCCTTTATTCCCTAATAGTTTCAAGGCGAGTGGGTCAGCTCTCTGAAACTGTTATCACTCCAAACACCCATCCCTCTGTTGAAGGTGGCCTCAGAGACCAGTGAGTTTAAATAAAGAAATAAAATCAACTTAGTGAGTGTTATCAGTTCCAATTGGGAAAACAGAGCGCTAGAGACGAAGCAATGTTTAGACTGAACTCTCCATTAGTGTCAAGAGCTCATTTTGACGCACACTGCTGCAATATTTGTTCAAATCAAGCGTTTTTGTTTTATCTAGGCTTTTTTCCACACAAGAAATGTTTTTATTTTCTCAACATGAGAGTCATTACCGTATGTGATGACAATCTTATCATGAACACAATCAATCAGTTTAATGGCTGCAGAATCCATCGGTCCATGCAACGTCTTGTTAGAGTTATTCCCCTTAGACCGCCTAGATGGCGCTGAGTCCGATTAGCGCAGACGCATTAACGCATTATTGTCTCGCTTTGGTAGAGATTTACAACAGGAAGACACAGCGCGGAGGCGATGACTTCGATTAGACGAGAATTTATTGCCTTTTATCGATTACTTACCATTTGATTGGCCGATTAATGCAGTAATTAAATCCAGGCACTTCGAAGTGCGTCCATTATAAGCTGCCACTTCCACTGTATATCATTGCTGTCGTACCAGATCGGCGGAGATTAATGGCGATCAATTCAAAAGTCCCACACACATTTCTAAATTACAGGAAAAGGACTCCCGAGTTTATGAGTCTCGATGCGTTCAAATGGGAGCTCTAGACATCACTATTACTTCGACGCGTAAGAATATTACATTGATAAGACACACGTCGTCCGCCGTTGTATTAACTTCTATTGTGTGATATAACCGCCCGAATCTTAAAGTTAATACAACTCGGACAATCGCACCTTGCAGTTGAGCGCTTTAATGTAATCAGCTTTTTGAAGCTATTCATAAAAGGACATTTCAGATTATTTTCTGTCCATAATTGAATAAAACGCACTTGACGGTGTGAATCAGAATTAAATGTTTTAGAGGAAGGGGTTGTTGAATGCATGATCAATCAAGCGATACGTTACAATCGGGAAACTGATTAAATTTGATTGATCTGGTATTCGGGACATACTCAGAAGAGCAGTGTTATCGGACCATCAACACACAAGAACGTTCACACACAAGATGAAAAATATGCATGATGGGTACTCGCTGTAGCAATATTTACATAAAAAACATTACGCATTTTTTGCGTGAATTAATGTTCCCGTATTCGTTTAATGTGATATTACATCTTGTAAATAGACACTATAAAGGTTTGTTGGATAATGTTGCACGGTGGATGTGAATTGGATTGCCCAATAGACGATGTTATTTTATACTCTGGGAATAGATAGATGCCTTTCATACGTAGATGATATACTTTGTGTAAACTAAACTGTATTCAACATGGCGTGTACATACGTATAGCCGTGTATAATCAGTCTCTCTGGGATGCAGAGATGCAGCAATCCTCAGCATCTCATTGAAGTAAAGGGCACGACCCAGCTCTTCAATCTCACGGAACGTCTTTTTACAGGAAGGCTAGATGAGTAAGCGTATATATGATACCACGTTACTATTTTGCAACAACGTTAGTATATTT